CACACAAAATAAAAACTAAAAAAAAAAAAAAAAAAAAACACCTGACTAGAACACTCACTGTTCTGAATGCCATAGAGTACATAGTCTGTACTTGAACTTAGTAAGAATGAAATTGTCTGTCTGCTCAACAGATGTAGCATTTATTTGTGTGGCCATGTCTATGGCCATGTCTATGAGCAGCTGTTCATTCTTTTTATTGCTGAATAGTATTCCATGGTATGAATACTCTACACTTTGCTTACCCATGTTCTTGTTGATGGACACTGGTTTTGCTTTTTGTTTTGTTTTCCCTGGGCTAAGAACACGTAATGTGAGATGTACTATTATAAAATTTAAGTGTGTGTGTGTGTGTGTGTGTGTGTGTGTGTGTGTGTGTGTGTGAACAAGTGTATGGTAGCCAAAGGTCAATGTCAGGTGTCTTTCTTCAGAACTGTCACTTTTTTTTGTATGTGCTGTATTTGTATGTGCTGTATGTACACATACAAATGAAGGTGCACATAAAACATGTGGACACATGCACATGTGAAGGAGAGGTTGACATCAGGTGTTTTCACTTGCTTTTCACCTTTTTTTTCATTTGTTTCATTTAAGACAGTGTCTCTCTATATAGCCCTGGCTAGTCCGAAACTCACCATACGACCCGTCTAGCCTTGAACTTAAGAGATCTGTCTGCCTCTGCTCCATCAGTACTGAGATTAAAGGTGTGCACTACCACACTCAACTCACTATATCCATGGGCTGTTTTATGACTTGTGGTTTTATGGGATATTTCTTGGTCTCTATTGTACCATGTAGAGCACTGCTTTTTCAGTGCTGGAGGTTGAACCCAGGGCCTTGTACATTCACTACAAGTGCTCTGCCACAGAACCACACCTCCAACACTCCACCTTATTTTTTAAAACATGGGTTTCTCATTGATTCTGGAGCTTTCAGATTAGGCTAGTCTAACTGGCTAGCAAACCTGGGGATTCTCATGTGTCCTCCTCCCCAGAACTAAGATTACAAGTTTGCACTGTAGTCACTGTCTAAAAGAACGGACCTTAATTCAAAAGTACTTTATTGCTAAAACAAAACAAAACGGGTGCTAACAACCATGTGGCCATTTGGGCTTTCAGAGAGCTGTGTTATTTTAGTTGTGATGTTTCCCCTAAATACTGATGGGTGTTGTTTGATGGGGAGGTTACTGGAGGTTGGGACTGTGGCAGTTTCTTTAAAAAGAAAATAAATCAACAATAAAGTTTTCTGCATTGCCTAGCTGATCCTTTTATGACCCTTTTATTTCTATGTAGCATGTGATGCTGCTTGACAGCATTTTGCCCACAGAACAACCTGTCAAAATAGGAATCAAGTGGGGGGGGGCGTGCACAATCCCATACTCAGAAGGCTGAGCCAGAGTTTGGAGCTATTCTGTGCTACACCTGCTGTTCACTCTAAGTATCAGTAGTGAGACAGAAACTGGGACCTTCACTCCAGCCTGGGCAACATGGTAAAAGCCAGTTTTAAACTACAAGTTAAAAAACTGACTGCGACCGGGCGTTGGTGGTGCACGCCTTAATCCCAGCACTCGGGAGGCAGAGGCAGGCGGATCTCTGTGAGTTCGAGGCCAGCCTGGTCTCCAAAGCGAGTGCCAGGATAGGCTCCAATGCTACACAGAGAAACCCTGTCTCGAAAAGAAAAAAACAACAACAAAATAATACTGACTGTGGTAATTTGAATGTAATTGGCCTTCATAATCTCATAGGGAATAGTACTATTAGTACTATTGTTGAGGTGGATATGGCTTTGTTGAAGAAAGTGTGTCACTGTGTGTGTGTTTGGGGGGGGGGGGGAGGTTTCCTATGACCAAAATACAGCCCAGTGTCTCAATTGACTTCTTGTTGCCTACAAGCCAAAATGTAGCCAGCACCCATGTCTGCCTGCACACCATCATGCTCCCTGCCATGATGATAGACTGAAGCTCTGAAACTTAAGTGAGCGACCCCAATTAAATGTTTCCTTTATAAGAGTTGCCATGGTCATGGTGTTTCTTCACAGCAATAACAAGCCTAAGACACTGACCATGATTAATCAACTAAGTATGTGCAACAGTATTAATCCTCTGTTGTCTTTTTGCCAGTGTTCAGTGTCTTCTTCACCAATAGCTTCCATCCCAGATCATTCCTTTATGTTGTTCATTCTTGAAAGGCAGCTCTTCTCCCTTTAAGATTTCATCATAAAAACAGCAATTCAGCCACATCTTCAGGCTCACTTCTCATCTGCCCTCATGCTGCGTCCTCCCCATCAGCAGTTACTTCCTCCACTGGAGCCTTGAGCCCTCACAGCTCGCTAACAAGAGGGAATCATTTCTTCCAAGCTCCTGTGAATGTTGCTATTTGACCTCTTTCTATGCCTCATGTTTTAATAGCTCTAGAATGGCAAATGCTTTCCAGGTTTTTAGTTTACTTTGTCCATATGTTTGAGAGAAACTGTGACAACTACAGACTTATAAAATCTAGTTATTAAATATTAAAGTTTTAAGGTCAAGTTCTAGCAGCACTGGACTGCCAATTCCAGATACACAGAAGTCCAAGGCCGGAGGATTCAAGTTCAAGAACAGTCTGAGATAAAGAGTGATTTCAGGTCCACCTGAGCAACTTAATGAGAATCTATCTCAAAATAGTAATGGGTTGAGGAAATAGCTCAGTGGTAGAGTACTTGCCTAGCATATATGAGGCCCACAAAGTCCTATCCCTCACTCAGGGACCACAGATAGTCAATGGGTACTGGAGGAAGGTGGGCCATTTTCTTCAGTGGTGTGAACAACGGTGCCTCTTAAAGGAGCCATACCCTTTTTCTTCCTTTCTTGTTTTTTTTCTTCTTAGGTCCTACATAGAAATTTGGGCCCCACATTGGGTGCCAAAATGTAGGGGTTTTTTAATGCTCTTTTACTCTTTTGGCTCTTTTCTTTTTTTGAGGGGCCCACCACCCAGCTCCCAAATAAATCATACACTTTTTCTTACTTATAAATGCCCACCTTAGCTTGGCTTATTTCTAGTCAGCTTTTCTTAAATTATCTTGTCTACCTTTTGGTTTTTCCTTTTGGGTTTTTTCCTTTTCCTACTCCATGGCTGGCTGGCCCCTAGCACCCTCTTCTCCTTGTTCTCTCCTCCCTCTTCTTGTTCCTCCTTTCTCTTTCTATTTACACTCTCTGCCTGCCGGCCCCACCTATCCTTTTTCCTGCCACACTATTGGCCATTCAGCTCTTTATTAGACCATCAGGTATTTTAGACAAAGAATCACAGCTTCACAGAGTTAAACAAATGCAGCATAAACAAAAGCAACACATCTTTACATCATTAAACAAATGTTCCAGAGCATAAACAAATGTAACACACCTTTAAAAAATATTCTACAACAGTGGTATAAACACTGATAGGTTTCTTGTATTCCAGTAAGTAACCCCTGACTTGTGTTTATATAAGCAACCATAATTAAACTCAGTGAGTTTCTAATAAAAAAAAAAAAGACATACATCAAAGTAAGATGAGATTTACTGTGAAGGGCTTCAGTGGTAGAGAAAGGGTGGTAACAGTGAATAATGGGAGTGAAATGATCAAAATTCAGTACATACATGTATTAAACCTTTAAATAATAAATAAATGTTTCTAAAATACATTATGAAGAAAAGTTTTGATTGGAAAAATTTTCTAAAGACACCCCCTAAGCCAGTAATAACTAAAAATAATTGAGAAAGACATTAAAATAACTATTTTAAAAGCACTGCTTTACAAAATAATTGAAAAGATTAAACAATTCCTGAAGATCTTCATCATTGTTTTTAGTTAGGAAACTTTTGTGTTTTTAAGTCATGTGCCAGTAAAGGTTCCTGCATATGATTCTACCCTTTCCTATCTCCCCTTTCAGATGGAGAAACTGAATCTACATTCAGAGCCTTGTAAGCTGCCCATGGTCAACCAGTAAGCTACTGTTAGAGGCATGGCAGGAGGAGGCCTATGTGACATGGAATATTATTATATACTGTAGCTAATTATACACATATCTCCTAAGAACACACAACACAAATCTGACCCAGGACTCTCCCAGAACCCAAGCCACACAACCTTTAGGCAACGCTCTTAGCTAATAAGCATCACAAAATGTCAGGAATCCACTTCTGAGATAACTGGATCCTTTGATCACAACATTCATCCATTTGTGACAGTGGAGTCTCATGGCCAAATTACTTCTTTTCCCTTTGAGACTGTGTCTCACTTTGTAGCTCAGGCTAACCTCAATAAAATTTATGACATTCTTCTAGCACAGTCTCCAAAGTACAGGGATTCCACTATGCCTCACTATCTCCACCCTGTTAATACTGCTATAACAACAAGTAAATGTCAACGTGGAATTTAGGAGAGACATTCAAATTACAACAGATAGTAAGAGACATGTAAGGTTATAATGATTTAATGTAATAGTCTTTCTATAGGTTTTACACATCAAAAACACTTAATGAAAAGTAATTCTAAAGTGAGTTGAGAGGTTTTAAAGATTTTTTTCACGATTTACTTTTATTTTTACTTGTGTGTGTAGTACATTGTATGCATACATACCACATGTGTGCAAGTGCCTGCAGAAGCCAAAAGAGCATCAGATCCTCTGGAGCAAGACTTACAGGCAATGGCAAGCTGCTTCATACAGGTACTTGGAACCAACATCCAAGCACTCTCTCCAACCCCAGAGATTAAGAAGAAGAAAAAAACCTTATGCTAATGTGAAATTATTAACTCCATTCAAGTTGCATAATGCTCAGAAAGTATGCTGTTGGGAGTAAAAATGGAGGGACACAGAAGGGATGTCTATCTTACAGTGAGGGGAGGGAGGTATACTGTATTTGGAGACCTCGAGACAGTTGTGTTGAAGACGTTGGTTGTCTTCAGAAGGCAGATGTTTATCCATCAGTACTCCTCAGAAACACAGCTTGGTAATCTGCAGGGGAGATGCCTAGGCACTTCTGTTCCCAAGATCCATGATGAGATAAGAAGAGGGAAACCTGACAGCTACTCCTGCATCAGCATTCATGAAGCAATTCTGCATCATTTTTATGCTCATGGCTGGCCACAGACCTTTTCTTCTGAGACACAGAACAGTCTATGGATGTGCATGTTAGCCTACCAAACACTGGGATCTCACTACACCCATGAATGTGTTTGGCATGTTACACGCATACACATGCACACTTAACCTGGTTTGGGGTTAGGGTTAGATTAATATCAGCGTGAGTTATGTTACCAGGTCACTGTACTGTGCTTTTCACAGGAGGACACTGCATGCTGGCTTCAAACCAGGTTAAAGAACAAGATATGAAAACTAACTTGCTTGATGTCTAAACTGTCAGTACTTTTAAAGTACTGACTTTTAAAGAACAGTCCCTCCAGGAGACATATGAAATTTACTCTGTTGAACTGTAGATGTCAGCTTTAATACACAATATGGACCAATAAATATTTGATAAACGAACATAGGAAGGAATGAGTAGGAACAGATCCACATACAGATCCTCTTGAGGATCTTAGCCACAGTAACAGCAGAAGAAATTTGCCAACCAGCACGTCCTGTGTCTAATAACACCACTGCTTATGTGAGCCTTCTGGAAGAGAAGCTGCAAGGGCAGACTGATATAAATGGCTTTGCTCCTATTGGATCTGTTCTGCAACAAGATCTCACCCAAATCTACAATTTTTTTCCTTTGAACTTGAGACAACAAAAATGAATCCACAAGATCAAAGCAGTTGGCAACAGCAAAACCACCAACTGAAGTAAGCACCCATATTCTACTCTTTGCAAAAGTCATGCTTTATCCCCCTAATGCTGGTGGAGAAACACTTAGGTAAGTTCTTTCCCCTCTCCCTATTTTTAGGGCTGTCTTGTCTCCACTTCTCTGTCCTACTTTTCACCAATAGGACCATACATGTTTGCTGGTCAAATTACTAAATACTTCATAAAATTCATTCTTGTTTCCACCATCCGGATATCTTCACTTCTTCAATTCTACATCCTGAGTAAAAAATTAGGGTGACATTCAAAACCAAACCTCACTTCTCACATAATAAAACCTAGTAATTACTCTGCTTTCTCAAGTCAGATAGTCCTGCTAATCTGACACAATCATGCACAATTAGCCTTTTCTTTCCCCTCAATGCCAATGGAGTTAAATGACTCAGCCATGCCCTGCACCAGCCCACTGCCACAACTCTTTCCCTCATTTTGTAAGCACTGTTCCACAGCGTACGTTCATCTGCCCTGACAAACTATTTGCTTTGCTTTGGTGCCTTCGTCACCAGCTTGAAGAATATCAGTTTTCATTCTTTTACCACATGATGACAGAAGACATACTCAACTATGGGACACAATGGGGAAGAATTTTACTTAATCCATATTTCAGTTAAGAGAGACAGATCATATTCATCACACTTGGGTGGCTAATCTTTCACATGGCAAAATATATTTGACGCTGAAGTTATTTTCAGTTTTAATGAGTCTTTGACGACTCAAAAGATACTGCAAGAATGCTGCAATGCTCAAAAGTCATCACTATACCTAGTTTTGGATAAACTCCTCTTAATGGACAAACCAGATTTGCCTGTGTATAATGGATGATGCATCAGGTCTTGCACATGACCAAAAAAGAAAACACTAAGTAGCTTTCTGGTGGTCAGTTCTGTACAATTTTACTCCTCAGACACTTGTGCTCCTACTTTGTGCCTGGCAGGATTGCTTAATCTCTGGTTCTGAATTGGCTATTGCATGCCACACTCATATGTGAGTTCCTTCGCAAGAAGGACAAGTTCCATGTCTCTGTGTCTAATGTTTAAGTTCAGGTTTGCTCTGATTCTCCCAGTGTTACTTTCCATAAATGAAGATGTTTCACAGGGTCTTTCTCTTGGGCTCATCTAACCTGTTAGAAATAATACAGTATTAAGTATGATTTGGCTTCTAACTCATTTGCAGTTTAAAATTTTCTAATTACAATAGAATTCAACCTAGAATTCAATGCAAAATGGAGATAAACTAAGTCATTCAGGTATATCCTCACTCCTGTCTACTGTATATTTGCTCACCTTGGGGGTGGGATGGTAAATTCATCGATTCCAACCTTTACCCAAGATTTTTAACAAATTTATTTTATAAGTACAGGTGTTTTATCTGCATACCTGTCTGTGCACCACGTGAATGTTTGGTGCCCTCAGGGGCCAGAAGAAGGCACTGGATCCCCTGGAACTGGAGTTACATATGGTTGTGAGCTGTCATGTGGGTGCTGAGAATTGAACCCAGATTCTCTAGAAAAGCAGTCAATGCTCTTTCTTCACCACTAAGCCAATTTTTCAACCCCTTTACTCAACATTTAATTCATTCAAAGTCTGTTGGAGAACTAAGCAGACCAGATACCTGACCCATATCTGCTGTCAGATTGTTGTACACACTTCAGCTTTCTCAAGTTTTTAAACAGATGTCAGTACTCACCCAGAAAAAATGGAAGGAGAAACCTGATAATAATTAGAAAAAAAGGCTTCAGATAAACTACTATCTCGTAACAAATTGTTACATTTCCTGAAAAGGATTAATTTTGATACTAATATTTATTCCCTGGAATCCTTAAAGTGTTTCTTCATGTGTACATCTAAAGAAACCCCTCAACCCCCCTTGAGATAAGGTTTCTCTGTGTAGCCTTGGCTGTCCTGACCTTGAATTCAGAGGTCAGTCTGCAGAGGCTAGGATTAAAAGTGAGCACCACCACGCCCATGTTAAAGAGTAATTTTTACTGTAACAGGTTAGAAAATGTTTTGTCATTGCTGAAGTTTTAACCAGGACCTTGCACATATCAGACCAAGTATTTTTCAACCATGATTAAGACAAGTGGGCACTGAGGTCACACCTTATGGAGACACATCATGTCTCCCAGTTATTCTCCAGGTGAAGATATAAAATAGTCCCACATAAGTTCTATTCAGGTCTATCAAAGAAAAACTGTACAGCACTATTTTCAAGTGCAAAAAGAGCAAAATGATCAATTTAAGAACAAAAAATTACATGCTGATGTCTAAGATCTCAGGAGGCAGAGGCAGGAAGATCTCTGAGATCGAGGCCAACTTGGTCTACATAGAGAGTTCCAGGACAAAGGCTCAAGGGCTTTGTGGGGAAATCCTGTCTCAATCCCACCCACCCCCAAAAAAGCAGAAGAAAAGATAGCTTTGAAAATTACATTAGAGAACTTCAAAGTACAACAGAATCATATCTGCAGACCGTTACTGAGCACCACGCACTATTTTAGATACAATACACATAGCAGGTGGATTAGGTTCCAAAACAGCAGTTTAGTCTAGTCGTATCCATCTTTCCAAAACTCACCTCTCCTCCCCTCCTGTAATCTGTCTTAGCATATGGTACCACCCACTCATCCACCAAAACCTAGGCTTTGAAAGATAATTTTGGTGTATATATCCCTCTTGCCCAACTGCCTTCATTCCTGCTCTTCTAGCTAAGATGTTCTTCCATTCTTCCAAAAGTGTGTCTGATACATACATTACAAAGTCACCATACCAGATTTGAGGCTATCACTATTGTTTAAAATATATTAAATACACATTAAATATAGCATATTTAAAATATACAAAAATGCTGTATGTAATAAAGAGCTAGAACCCTCCCTCCTAAGAACTAAAGCAGTTTTCAAAATTCACCTGTGTGCTTTTCTCTGGCCCTTTTTACTCCTCCTTCCACAGGCTATCATTAATCTTAACTTTGAGTTTTCTGTGACTTCCTTTATAAATTTCTAATCACATATCTAACTACCATGTATATCCTTTGGTCTCATACACTTTTGAACTCAATATAATAGGTATCATGCCTTAAGTAGTCACAAGAAACTTTGTTTTGCCCCTATGTTGCCAAGTGTGGCTGTCATTCACTCATTTTCACCGCCATGTACCTGAGAGTCCCTTATGAAACCATTCTCCCATAGACAGGACTTCAATCATCCCAGGTACTAATATGATTTATACTGCCATGACCAAAATGTAAGACATGGCTGAACATTACCTGAAGCTCAGCCCATATTCACTCTGTAGATGTTCATGTCTGTGAGGTGTAACTGCTCTCCAGCAGTGGAGGGAAACATGTGTGACTACCTACAGACTAACACCTGGAACTGTGGGTCCCACTCTTGCAAATGTTACAGAAAGCAGAATCTCACATTATCTGATCACTACAAAACATCTATTTATTTACTAGCCTCATGAGAATGCTTTCCATTTTTTTCCAAGTAGAAAATTTCTACACATTCTGGTTACTAATCCTTTATCAGTTACTTAAAAAAAAAAAAAAAAAAAAAAAAAAAAAAAAGTCTTCTGAAAGCAAACACCTCTTCATTTGTCCTAGTAGCACTGGGAGCTATGGTGTGTCGTGGCATTATACCTTTTTGTCTAACCAGTCCCACCCACAAATGTTCTTTGCAATGAGTCATTGGTCTGGCTCAAGGCCTCTGGCACACCATCATCACTTGACCCTCACTGAAAATACTCTCGGATATCCTGCTGTTGTCTTGAGTCATGGAGATCTTGTGGCTAGTTCCCTAAGACTAAGTCCCTTTACGTGCTCCAGCAGGTCATAGATGGGGTAGATGTTAGGGTGGGCCAACCCAAGGCCCAGGATATGGGTCTAGGTAGCAGCTGGGCTGGTCAATCTGGGCCTCTAGGACTGACCCCTCAGGCGAGGTGAGGTGTGGAGCCAGCTCTCTCATGACTGTGGTAAGGGGTGGGGCCATCTCTCTGAGTACCAGGGTCAGCTCTCCCTTGAAGGGTAGGTCCAGCTCTCTGGGGCAACGTCCAGCAAGGGACAGTGTCAGCTACCCCAGGGCTAGTGAAGAGCAGACTGGCTCTGTTTGCTTTGCTTTTAATTTTTTTGAGGGGAGGGGGTGGTCCTTTTAGGGGAAGGACACTGCAGTGGGTGAGGCGCAGATAAAGAGTGACGGGGATTAGGGTTCATGATGTGACGTTCCCAAGAATTAATAAAGAATTGTTATAAAAAGTCTTCTTGCTTAAAGCATTCACTTGCTTATCTAAAGTCCTTAGTTTTTCGTAGCAATGTCTTAAACCACTTCTGCACTAAAGCTTCGGGTCTTGTCAGACAAGTTCCCTAAACACCTCCATTTGCAGAAGCACCTGACCACTTCTGATGCTTTGCTATTCCACACTAGACATCTGCTTGTCTTCAGCATGACCTCAGTGAGAATTGCTGCTAGAAATCTTGACTTCAAAGCTCAATTTGGAAAGACCCAGCATCTTTATAACCTCTAATGTTTCTATTCACAGTTCCTCATCTGTTCCTTCCCTGCTGCTCCATCTTTATCCTTCAGTCCTAAACGGGAGTCAACAGAGCCTTCCCTAAGTACTCCCACCACCAACCAGGCCAACACACTTTTGAGCAAACTGTCCTAGAGAAAGACAGGATGGAGTGAACTTGCAATCTGCTGACTGGGCAGCACCCATCCGTCTTTGTTATTGAATATACTAGAGATCAGATGAGCTAGAGAGAGGCTTGGGATACTCCACTATCAGCTGCCTCAGGTACTCCTGGAGAAGGTGGCAACCTTCCCCTTAAGGAGCAAGAATTAAAGATGGAAGAGGTGGCAACCTTCCTCTCAAGGAGCAAGAATTAAGGATGGAGGAGCCTGGAATACTGAACAGATGAGACCATCCTCTGAAACAATAGACTGGGAGAGCAACTAATGACAAAATGTTAAGATTTAAGCAGGTAGAAGAAAACCATGGTTAAGAAATGAGCATAAACATCAAAGGCTAACAAAAGAATTATGTCAAGGGAGGGGTTATGGGCAACAATTTGGAGCAGTCAACTCTGTCTTAGCCACAGAGAAAATAACCCCCTAGGAAGGCCTCTAGATCTAATGATTAAGAAGCCAGCAGTGGTAAGAGATGAGAAACACTCCCTAAACTTCACTGCATTAAATGCAAGTAGGAGAGCCGGGCGTTGGTGGTGCACACCTTTAATCCCAGCACAAAGGAGGCAGAGGCAGGCAGATCTCTGTGAGTTCGAGACCAGCCTGGTCTCCAGAGCGAGTGCCAGGATAGGCTTCAAAGCTGCACAGAGAAACCCTGTCTCAAAAAACAAAAACAAAAACAAAAACAAAAAAAACAAAAACAAAAACAAAAACAAGATAGCCTTGAAGTCCAACTTCTCCGGAATACCTAAAATAAACTAGGAAGGATGCTTCCAAGTTATCATTTAGATTCCTTAGTGAATATCTATACACCTAAGCTCGTAAAAAGAAGAGGAGGAGGAGGAGGACAACTACAACATCTGTCATGGGATTAGATCAAAGACATGTTCAGGGAAGCCAGCTGAAAGAATGTTAATGAAATAGACTATTATAGTTCTTCAAATGAAATACATTTGAAGATGAATGTTCCAAAGCCTAAAAATTATACCTGCTACAGAAATACGTCCTGAAACTAAGTGGCTCAGACTAGTGAGCCCCATTTATGTTCTAGTACTAGTTAAACACACCTTAAAAGAGAAAACAGTTCTTTTCACTCGGAGGGAAAGTGATACAAAAAGTGTATACTACTTTGAAAATGAACTTGGAAAGAGTACAGATTTGCAAGCTCATCATTACCCAACTGTCATTTCTTCTTTCCACCTCCAATATACCAGAGTATGTGTTTGGTGTTAAGTGTCTTCAGGCAGCATATGAAGAGAGGAGTCTGTCCCACAGAAGATGAGTCCTGATGGCATGTGTAACACATAGAAGCTGCTTCTCTTCCTCAGTCAGTGTAAACTGTAAGTTGGGGTTCTAATCCCAGAAGAAGATTCTCATACAGTCACATTCCCATACACATTTCCATGCTCTACCTCCTCCTCCCTTAACCTCTTATTATTCCCATACCTCAAGTGCAAAGACTTCAGAGATCTACAGGACCTCCACTCAGATATCTGTGTGCACCTCAACTGTCTCCATGCACAATCTTGTTTAAACCCCAACCACTGAGACAGAAATTAGTATCTCCATTCTCATTTTAACAGTGTTGGGAGGACTGAGCACTTGGCTTATGTCACATGAAGTTACACAGCAAAGTTGAAGTTGGAGTCTGAGCTTTCAGAGCCAAATGCTTTGAACAACTTCTCCAGAAATAACAAAGAACAAGCCAATGTAGTATATCCAAAATATATGAGTTCAGAGTGACATGCACGTAAGAATTGCATGGCTTTAAGCCACCCACAGGTCCAGCTCTGCACAGATGTCAGGGCTCAGCTGAGAACCTGCTTGATTTTGAGAACAGCTAGAAGATGTTAAAAAATAGCCTTGGTAGTCACTTTCTTTGTCTTCCATTTTTTCCCCTAGTGCAAGGGAACATGAAACTACAAAGGACAAAAAAAAAAAAGCTTAGAAAATGTGACTATGCATAACCACACTAGCACACCAGGGCAAACAGTTCCAGTATTTCTGTCCAGCAAGCAGTGAACAGGCCTCTGCCAAAGAGGTTCTACAGTCATTTAGTTGAGCCTCAGAAAATGAGGTCTCGAAGAAAAAAAGAGAGGAATACCTTCCTCCCCTTGAAACCACTTACATTGAAATGTCACATTTCTCATGGTGGCACTTTGCTTCAGGATCACATTTCTCTATACATTCCCCTATTCAACTTATTTACAAGACTTTTTTTTTAATGTGACAAAAACAATAAAACTAAACAAATAACAACAAAAATCAGGAACAAGTACCCTCCTAGGTCAAAGGCAAAAATAGGAAAAAGCTAGTTGAGTTGCTTTAGAATGCAAAAGATGTCTTCTGCTTGTTCCAATCCTAAAGACCCAGGAACAACATAAGCCTCGGCACCTTGTTGCTCTGAAAAAGCACTATTTTCTAGGAACCCAGAAGACCTGCTCCACATCACATGCCACCAACCAGCCTTCCAACACAGACAGTGGGGAAGGCCAGGCACACATACAGATGCTTTCTATTGTTATTTCTAAGGCACTCTGGATTGTACCCCCTTGAGGTCAGCAAACATAAAGGTTTTAAAGGAAAAAAGAAAAAGAAGAAAAGGAGTGTGTAAGAGAGAAAAAAGTCAGTCTGTATCATATCCCAGAATGGGGCCAAGCCATCTCTCCACCTCAGCCACCAGCATGTTCTTCCTCAAAGCATAATCCTCAATCTGTAAAAGACAGAAGCATCTTGTTAAACTGGGTGCTAAGATATTCTAATCTGAGTTTCCACAAACCTTTGAAATAAACATTAAGTGCCTGGCATATCTTGTCTTAACAGCAATCTACCAAGCTAAACAGAGGTATTGTCTGTCTGCCTACTTGCTTTACTCTCTAGGCAGAAAACAGCATGTGACAAATGTCTGCTGTTTAGAAGAGGGGGGGGGACGACTAGAATCAGGGTAATGGGCTGAAATCAAATTAAGACACAAACTGGGGTGAGTTTACACACACACACACACACACACACACACACACACACACACACACACACACACACACACACCCCACATCACTTCATTGTCATATAAAATGGGACCTATAGGTCCATTGTAAAGACAGTTATCTAGAGAAGCCACATACTTACCTGATCCTTGGAAACTTTCCCCACAGCAAAATATTTGGACTTTACATTGGAGAAGTAGAGACCCGATACTGCTGAAGCAGGTGCCATTGCCAAGGATTCTGTCAACCTGATGCCTAAAGAGAAGCACAGGAAGCAATCAGTGCCCAGGCAGGGTACTAACAGACTCTGAGTGAGCACAAGTAAACTCATGCCTCCAAGGCAGACACAATGACACAGTAAAAAGCTTCAATCACAGTCTCAAACAAATTCTTGCCAGGTGGAACACCAAATTCAAGACATGCACGTTATACCCAATGGGAACAAGCCTGGAAAAGACTGCGTTCTTTCCCCCAGCTACACTGAGTCTTCTCAGGTAGGACTGCTAGCCCTGGCGAAAGGAGAACCACCCACAGATCCCAGGACTCTGTGAGGTCAGTTGGCAGCGGGAATGAAGAACAAGTCCATAAAAGCACTAAGAACAAATGGTTCTCAGGACTGTTATTCTGCACTCCTCACTCTATGGACAAGAACATGGAGTCACCAATGGCTAAATACTTTCTAACCATCTCCAGATTGCTCACAAGAAATGGGGCTCACACCTAGATGTTGTAACTCTCAGAGGTGTTTCTCTACAGACCCAGGCCCAATGCTACTCCCAGTTCCTTTCTTTGGCATGCACTCAACTTCACCAGCTTTGATATCTATTTTGATTAATTCCACTGGGTCTGTAATTTAACCTGAGTCCTCTCAACTCCACAAGCTATGCAGTAAGGATGGGACAACACAAAGCCTCAGAACAATGACTCTGCCCTGAGCCAAAGACAATGAGGCTAGTGTCTCAACAAAGCACAGGTCAACTTTTAATTTTCAACTCTGAGACTCAACCCATAGAGGAAAGGTAAGGCACATAAATGTTAATGACAAGTAAAGGGAAGTGAGAAAGCTAAGGGAAGACTGCGAATTGCCAGTTTGGAGCCCAAAGACTGCCAACAGCAAGCAGTGCAGGCCTGAGCAGATGGAAGACAGAGGCTGGCCACCAGTGACTGTACCACGAACAGAAAACCAGGCCAGGAAAGGCAGAGGAGAGACAGGAGAAGGTAAATCCCCATCCAGGATGGGACCAGAGTAAACAGTTTATACTACTAAGTCTAAAATATTTAAGTAAAAATACAATGCTGTGCTTTGGAAATAAAGTGTCAGAACAGATCCAAGTGAGAAAGGATGGGATGAGGGATGATTTCATTCTAAGTTCTTCTGTTTTACAAAAACTTCAACTACGTCATTGGTAAGTGCATGCACTCAGTGAGCAAGGACAGCAGCTCGCTGCCTCCCACACACCTGTGGCCTGCTCAATGTTGGCCAGTCTCCACATGGTGAGCTTCTCAGTATGGTCAGGCTGGCTGGGGTAACCAGGAGCTGGCCGGATGCCCTCATACCGGAGTTTTCGCAAGTCTGTGACACCCAACAGCTCACTACTACAGTAGGCCCACAGTTCTCGGCGAACTCTCTCATGGAGCTCCTCTGCAAAGGCCTGGGAACGCAGAAGAGAAAGGCACAATCAAGCAGAAGCAACCTGTGGCCTCCAGCCCTGCATCATGGTGGCACAGAACCACTTTCCCCACTGTGCCACAGTCAGGAAAAACTGCACTTTCACTGGCTGCCCTGAGACTCAACAGTGCCCTCAATTGAGTTCTGAAGTATCTTATTTAATAATCTGGGAATTCTAGGCCATTTTCCTGAGCTTTACCAGGAATGTACTGGGACCACAGAAAGAGCTGTATTCTTCATTACCTGAATTAAAGAAAGGGAATAGGACCTCCCACAGCTTGGCCTGCCTCACCCCATTATGCAGCAAAGATAACTCTACAAAAGTTGCAAACCTTAGAGAAGACTCTAAAGCAGAAATCTGATTTTAATTCTGGGGCTTACCAGTAAAATGATGTATAATAATAATCAAAGGAAGACTAATTCAGAGATTAAAATGATGTATCACAATAATCAAAGGAAAATTAATTCAGAGATAAGGTCAAGACTCCTGAGGGCAACAACCAACTAGGGAAGCACCAGAGGTTTCTCCTTACTAAAAGATGACACATGGCATTTGTGAGACACAGGACTTAAAAATATAGGTCATGTTAAAGCCAGCAGTATCTGGCTCAAGTACACAATGACACAGATTCTAAAGGCTGCTAAGTTTTCTGACACTGTCATGGGGGCTCCAACACCCTTTCTCTACCTCAACTCCCCAGTATCTGCCAATGCCTTACCTCTGCCAGCCGGTCCCCCAGTGCCTTCACCATGATGCTGCTGTAGTCATCGCCATCATCCTCGTAGGCCTTACTCAGTTCTTCAACCCCAAAGCAGGCAACAGCAAACAGACCCAAGTAGTCTCGGACACCAGAATGCAGTGGAGCAATGAAGTCTGAGAGGCAGTGGTAGGGGTCTGTACTGGAAGAGTCCTTCTCAGCCTTAAAACCCAAGCATCGGGCAAAGAAGCCATTAGCATGGCATGACACCACCATGCAGTAGAGAGCAAAATGAATGTAGCCTCGGGACACAGAATGTCTGCCTGCTTCGTTCAGCTCTACCCCAGCATTCAGAACAGTGTCTGGCACACAGTGAGTACGCAACAGATACTTGCCGAATAAACCAAGTTTGACTATGGCTTGAGTGTGTCCATACACAAAACCACAATTACTCAACATAGCCAAGTGGGGCCCAGGGTCACTGCAGCATATGAGGTGGAGCCATCATGACTTGCTTACTGTCTTTCTTGCAGGAGGGCTGTCACTGAGTTCTTTTCTCACTCGCCTATGTGCTTCTCCCTCTTGACTTTTGCCAGGTATGGCTGCCTGATCTTAGATTTCTTAACATCCAGAAAAATGAACCAAAATAAACATTTTTCTTTATAAATCTCCAGCCTTAAATATTCCATTATAGCAACAGGAAACAGACTAAGACAAATAAAATGAGACTTTTAAAAATACATGACATGATGTAGCATATATAATTAGGAACTGGTAGATTTGCTCATTTACACACTGACTAAACACTTCTGAATACTTGCAGGCAGTGTGCTAGGAGCCAGAACCTTAAACAATCAGATTACATTCTACTTCACCACAGTGTTTTCAATTCAGACAAGCATGTGTGAGGAGAGCCCGATAGAGGTATCAGCCTTCACTGTGCATCAACAGGTAAAAGTTTAACAAACTGCTGAAGTCAAGTGCATACCGGCCTGGTGTTGTCCACCATGGCTTTTTAGGACTTCTGAGAACACACTAAGACAGTCTGAATACAAAGAATCTGTCCAGGGCCTAGGAATCAGAGTTGGAAAAATACCAGTCTAGAATCTACAAAGCTTTAAGTTTTATCCCCAGTACCACACAAGCCTGGTACAGCCTTGCAGGTCTATAATTTCAGCATGCATGAGGATCAAAAACTCAAGGTCCCTTAGTGACACATCAAGTTTGAGGCCAACCAAGGACACATGAGACCCTGTCTCAAAACCAATGCCCCCCATACATGCACAAGCACACGCATGCGCGTGCATAAGCACACACACACACACACACACACACACGCACACACGCACACACGCACACACGCACACACGCACACACACAAGAAACTACTTTTCTCTGGCTCTCCCCACAACACAGGTGTCCATCTTCCACTGTTTACTCTCATCTGGTAAATGACCCTTCCCTGCTAAAGTTATCAAAGTCTTACACATATCATGGTCAATAAACAGTTAATAGCTTATAGCCAATACTTCCTAAGTACTTAGCACTTTGTTGGTCTTTATAGGGCACTAATTTAGCTCTCAGCAATCCAGTGAAGAAAGTGATCCACAAGCTCCATTTCATGAGCAAGAAATCTGAGACATAAAATTTGACCCCATGGGCTCAGCCAGATCCAGGAGCTGACACCAGTGCCCCATCAGTTCCACAAACAAATGCTCCTAGATACAAGGCACTGCTCTATACTGAACAATTAATCAAGGAGTAGCCATTCAGAATCTTCTAAGCCATTTGTTAATCATGAGAGCAAGTGCAGCCTGACCCTGGGCAAAGAATAAGCCAGTGGCTGCAGGCCTGAAGACATAAGTGTCCCAATGTTCAGGGACAGAGGTGAATGGAGGGTCAGTCCATTTTCCAGTGGTATTCTACTGCCCTTTGATTTAAAAAATGAAAAAGAAGAAACAGAGGGACACAAAGCTACTCTGCAGTAGACAGGTCACTGGTCCCACTGTGCCTTAGAAGGGCTGGCAATCAGAGTTACTCTGAACAAAAGATTCCCAGAGTAATGAGGCACTCAGCTACCATTTTTCAGTGCCCTGCAGATCGCCTCCTAATAAATGGCTCTCCACACAGGCAATACACATCCATAGTCCAGGTCCCCTTTCTAGGGACTACTAAAAGAATGAACTGAGAATCCATTGTGGTAAATGCCCTTATACAGCATGTCCAGACTTCCCCGACACAACAGGAATCATAGTATTTAGTTCATTCTGGTAGGGAAAAGACAGCAGAGGAAAACCAAGGACTGGAGGATGAAAGAATGAGCCCAGCAGAGGTGTCTGGCCTTAGCTACCAGTCAAAGAAAAGCTCGTGATTCCCTAGCAAGAAAGGGGCGGAGCTCAGCACTGGAACTCCCTGCCCTGGGTCCTACAGTGTCTGAGCCTGCACACACAGAGTAAAGCTGAAATAGTTCTCACATAACTCCTTATGGTACTAAGACCCAAATTTAAGACTCCTATCCATTGTTACTAGTAAAACCCTGTCATTATGAGTTGTATCATGATAAAAGGTAACACCACCAATTTTAAACTACTAAAAATGTTAGTAAAACTAAAAAGAAACTTACTGCTAATTATTGAATTCTAGCTACAATTCTTTTTTGTTTGTTTGTTTTTTGTTTTGTTTTTTTGTTTTGTTTTGTTTTTTTGAGACAGGGTTTTTCTGTGTAGCTTTGGAGCCTATCCTGGCACTCGCTCTGGAGACCAGAAATCCGCCTGCCTCTGCCTCCCGAGTGCTGGGATTAAAGGCATGTGCCACCAACGCCTGGCTCTAGCTACAATTTTTGACTGAGACATTTATGACTCTAGCAGATAAAGTCTTTGCATGGTGCTCCCATTTTTAAAGGTGAGGCAAAAACCAAGGACAGACAGTGTACACTGAGAACTGTTAGAAGGAGAATACAGCCTGGGTGCACTCAAGGGGGTTTGCTTCTCCAGAGGCACACAAAACTCAGGGTCAGCTTACTCTGCCCATTTTCTTCCCTCTGTGAAGTGAGACATAAGCTGCCTGACAACAGCACCATGAAGCAGTTACACTGTGGTTATCTTACTACGGCTTCAGCACCTGGCAGGGTGGCTATTCTGGGATATTTGTCCTCACCAGACTTCCCTTTGAGACAGTAAGCCACATAACAGTCTTTAATAGCATACTCAGATGAAAAGCAATTGTTAGGGAAAGTAAATGCCCCCTAGTTTCAAGAGATAAGGGTTCTGAAGACTGAAAACATGAGTGTATGACAACTGGGCCAGCAGCACTGTTCCCTGTCTATCTGCAGTGAACTCCTGCCCTACCTCATGGACACCCATGTTGGTGCCTTTTCTCCATCCTCACAAATGCTTAGGACTCAGGCCTACGGAGGCTGTTTGAGTTGAAGTGGTACAGATAAAAGGCTCAGATTTCTTATTTACTTCTCACGCACACTTAGTGTAGTTCCCAAGCCTGGGAGTCAGAGCAGCGCACTCACTGTCCACACACATTCCATACCTGCTGCCGCAGCCCATAGAAGGTGGCTATGGGCTCCGAAGCCTGGGGCACCACATCCTCTGCATATAAGTGGATATCATCTTGGACACTCTGTGCTGGCCAGAATCCAACCACGCCCCTGGCCTGGAGTTTCTTTTGACTTATCAGTATATTCAACATATTCTGAGCATCATCATATACCTTTCTGGCTTCTTTACCTATTAAAAAAAAAAAAAAGAATTTATTTAAAGATGCCAATAGTAACCGTTCTCTTTAAAACACTGCTGCTTCTCCTTCCCCTACCCTCTTCTTCTCCATTCTCATACAGATTCTCAGGTTTGCCATGGGCACAGCCTGAAGTAGAGCACACCGCGGCTAGTGGGTCCATGAAACGAATCCCCACTAGTTCAATCTGTTTATATGCTCCCATTTAGTAGAATCCAGGGAGCTAAATCAATGGTATCCAGAACAGTCTTGTCAGAAAGAGGGCAAGACTTAGCATTCCACATCCAACGCCATTAACTTCACAGTGATACATGGGGTTGAGACAGAGTGAGCCATGATGTGTGGCCCAAATCCTCCTAAATGGCATTGGTGCTATTCAGCACCTGTGTAGTAGGCACCTGACCAAGTCTGAGACACCTTCCATTAGTTCCCATTAGCTCTCAGACAACACTGTGCTGCCCTACCTGTGTGAAGGGCAATCCATCCCTTCACAGCTGGCTGTGGTGGCACAGGGACAGTGCAGTAAGAAGGCCCTCACCCAATCCTCCTGACTACCCATCAGTAGTGGGTCAGCATACTAACATACCCAGGACCCTCCAAACTCTGACAACTATCTGGTTTCCCTGGCTCTCTCCAGTCTGAATCTCATGGATCACCAGTACTCCTCCTCCAATTCTCTAAGGGTTTGGTGAGGGTGAAGCTCCCTCCTTCCTTGAGTATTCTAGATAAAATGAGATCTTCAAGTTCCCTACATGGGCACCTATGTCCAAGACTTCTCATTCTCTTTGGTTTGACTTGTTCCTTTATTTCTGCTTCCTATCCCTAGGCCAAGCCTCAGCAATTCCCATGGAATCTTCAATAACAGTTCAAGTACCACCACCTCCAGGAAGCCCACTCTAATCTCCTTGCTGGAGCTCTAGCCCCTCTTCTTATGTGAGTGGGATCCCAGGTTGAACCCATAGCAAGAACCCAGCAACACCTAGTACTGTCAGCTGCACCAGTGAGTCAGTACTAAATCACAGTGTTATCACCTTTTTGTTTGTCTCTGCTGAGCAGAAACCAGTATGTAACTGATGTCAGTGAGTACATTAAAATATGAGTGAATAAAAGGCCAAATATACCCACATAATAAGGGCAAACAAAGAGTGAAATGTTCATCTGAAAGTTGAGTACATGAGCAATATGGAAGCAGCTATATCCTGTGCAAACTAAACACTTAGTGCACCCTCTCAAACCGCCTTTAGAGTCACAACAGCACATCCTGAATACCAGGCAGGAAGGACTTACTAACCTACTGTTTTGTCGTTAAATATCTTGGGGAAGCCTCGATTTGGATACTTGCCACGGAGCTGCCAGACATCAAAGAAAGGTTTCCAGTCAATGTAGTCTACCAGCTTTTGCAGGTTATAGTCTTCAAAGACCTGGGTCCCAATAAATGTGGGCTTCACTAGAGGAAAGAGACACAGCCATCAATGCCACACCAGCTGGGAGGACACTCACGCGGACATACACTGAGGTGTCCTTTCCTGATCCTCACGTGCAGCTTACTCCCATGCCTGCCTCCCTCCTGTCACCTGTCGGAGTTGTCTTACCAACCTTTAAATTATCATGGAGAAGGAATTTCCTCATGAAGCTGACTATCTCATGCTGGAAACTCCTCCCTCAGCCCTTTCATCCCCACCACATCTAAGAAAAAGGGAAGCCTTTAGCTCACTTCTGTGTGTATGGATGGTGGCAATGTTAAAAAAAAAGACTACTGTAGAAGGGCATGAGTAATATACTACTTATATGAAATTGCAAACATGAACCAATAGCCTTCAATGCAGATGTGTGCGTGTGCGCGCGCGCGCACACACACACACACACACACACACACACACACACACACACACACACACACACACACACACACACACACACACACACACACAGTGTAAGGGCATATACAGAAACCAAGTCTCAAACTCCAAACTGTGGCTACTACTTCTACAGGGCAGGGACAAACATAGGACTACCGTTATGGATGAATATCTTTGATTTCTGAAAAAGATTTATTAAGTCATAACTTATTTCTTAGGTTAAGTAATGGAAATACACAGGCATTCAGGAATTGTTCTCTGCATCTCAAGTCTGTAGCACATTGTAACACATACTTCTGGGCACTCTATAGGCAGACTGTGCTTCTAACAATTCAGGACACCAAGGACACAATGCCACATGAATACTGGGCCAGAGGCCAAGGGGCCAGTGCTACTGCCAACTCTGAGTGCCCATGCTTCCCTGTGACTAGGGATCCAGGGACTCGCTGTTCCACTGTTAACAGCTGCTCTGAAGAACACAGGCCTCTCAGGCAGTGAGGAGAGAGCAGAGGAGCTCTTTACTGAGCAGGGATCTCTGCCTCCTGCACCACAGTGACTCTCCCCCATCTGCTCTACCATCTTCCTATCATTTGGGGCTGCCCCCGCTTTTTAACCACTGCCGTGTAGGTCTGTTTGTTGACAAAGTCTGTAGAGTCCGCTTAGGAGACACAAGAGAGACCACTGACACCACCAGACCAAAAAGGCCTCTTGCTAGGAGGAAGGCAGTAACCTGTAGCTGTGGAGCTGCAAAGGGTAGGGCTGCTCTTCATGAAGCTTTGCGCCTCAGTTCCAAGGCTGCTTCAGGCTCTACTTCCCAGGGCCTAGAGAGAAGGCTCTGCTTTCTTACTGGTTTCACCTCATACAGCTCTCTGACCTGGGCTATCCTCAGAACATTCAAAGGCCATACCGTGGGACCCCATATCCCACAGGCAGCAGGGCAGAGCTAGTGATGTCATCATATGGGGGCAAAAAAGGCAATCCAGGAAGTATCTCTATCACTAGCAGATATTATGGGCCTTCTCAGGGTCCTTTCTAACAAAATACATATTTGGATGCATGACTTTCCCTGGTGCCTCTAGACAAATTTCAGAGTAAAAGATAAACAGCGAACTACCATAGCATAGACTCTATTGTAGTGACTTCTATTTCTTCAAAGATTTTCACATTAGTATCTTATTCTACCCTTTCAACATTTCCATAAAGCAAGCCCCCTTTACACATCAGTGCCTGTTAAATGTAGAAGACAGACACTCAAGGTCATACAGGGAATCGGAGCCAGGAGCCAAGCCGGGATGAGCACCCGGGCCTCCCAGCTCCCAATTTGGCACTCTTTCTACTAAACCACACTGAACCCAGCAGGAATGAAATTAGAACTGAGCACACCTACATTTCCAATTTAATCCTCTCGACTCTGCTGAGCAAGTGTAGAACACAGATGTCATGAGCACTGAGAGCTGGTTTCAGACACTACCTTGGAAATACGATTCCTTTAAGAGAACCCCCTTCACCCTGTCTCAGTTTTGCATTTGTGCCTCACGTCTCTCTGAACCTGTCAAAACATCTTATGCATATTATTCCCTTGTGAATACCTATGTGAGGTAAGAAAAGTAGCAGAAATAAAATGGGAAGAAACCATGTAAGATAAATTCAAAGGGAAGCATCCAGAGACAGAACAAGAGAGCGAAAAGGATCCAGCTTTGCCACAGTTTTTTAAGACCCGTGAATGTAGTCATTATATTTCAGACATTTCAAGTGAGTTCTTTGGCCTGCATGCAACTGAGGTCAGTCGAGGAGGCTCACTCAAGCAACCACAGAGAAGCAGCAAGGCTACAGAAGACAAACCTTATGGTAGAAGCTTGACAACCATTCAAGTTACTGGCTGAAATTTGAGTTTCTTCAATTAAAATGGAGACAATAAACATGCTTGTTACAGAGTCATCCGAAGGACTCAAATCAGCCATGGTGATTCCATCTCACAAAAGTTTGTGGCACTCAACAGGTCTTCCTATCTACCTTCTTTTCAATACAACTGAGAATTCCTACAATTACTACACACAACTGAGAATTCCTCACTTGTAGGTTTATTTGTAGCAGAGTAATGGCAAACAGTCCTAGACATTGTCAGTTATCACACTTAACTGTCCCCAGCAACAGCCACAGACCTGGGTGAGGTTCAGACAGCCAATCAATGTGGAAACCATTTTTTCTGGCTTGACTTAGGGGTAAGTATTTTCTCTCCTGTTGAAGAAAATGGCAATTTAGTTTAAACTTCTTAGCTTTTCTATCTCTACAATGAAAACATAACTAAGAAAGTTTTGCAAACAAAACAAACAAATGAACAAAACCAAATGCTTTTAAAGGATAATTCTTATTCTTTCCCAACCAATATGGCTTCACACTGCCACCAGAATAGGAGAGAGTAGACTGACCCTGCAGCCCTGACCAATTCTTTCATTCAGGACACATGGACTTGGAGTTAACTGCCCTTCCAAAGCTACCCTGAGGCCCAGAGCAGGGTAGACCCAAGGAATTGTAGCTGTAGGCAAACAGGAGACTAGAAAGAAGCCATCAGCAGCACCTACCGCTCTCGAGCACCTCAGAAACACATCACTTGTTCATTCTCTCATTCACATTCCTAGCAACTCTCTTCATGTCCCAAAGATGGAAGGCAGACAAGCCTGGGAACTATCCTAGAAGGGGACTGTTCCCGGCACATGATTCTGAATAGCAGACAAGGTTGAGCCAATAACCAGGAAAGGCTTGAGAACGACTGGTTAATGACTCCATTTTCTTCCATTTTACCCTCAAGAGTAAGTCTGAGAATACCATTTTAGAATGGTTTAACTCATATTTTGGGGATGTCTATGAGCTCACATTTTACCTGTGCTCACAGGCCTGGTGTCTGGCACATAGCCTAATATCTATCGAGGATCCAGAATGTTGGGCTCAATACAGTTTAAAAAAAAAATCCCAAGTGTTTTGAAACATAGTCCTGCTATGTAGCCCAGGCTGGCTTCAAACAAGTGATCCTCTTCCCCCATCTAAGTGCTGGGATTATAGGCATGCAGGTCCATGCCCTACTTATGACTCATTATAACATTGAAAAAAAAAAAAATCAGGAATTTAGATACCAAAAAAACTCAAGTTTGTGCTAGGAAATACACTTCTCTCAAAGGACTCCTCAAAACAGTCAATAAAGCTCATGAAAAATGGATCACTCAGTTTTTATCACTTACCTTGAGAGACTCATAGTGGTCCTGTCTAATATCTTCATATTCTTCTAGTATTTCTTCAATGTAGTCATCTTTCAGATTTTCATCTAACAGCTGAGAACACTGAAACGCAAGATAAAGTTCACCTACCATAGGCAGCAAAGGAAGATAACGTCCACTGAGGCCAGTGACCTGGCTCAGCAGGTGAAGATGCTTGCTGCCAGTCTGACAACCTAACTGTAATCCCTAGGACCTATGCATGGTAGAAGAAGAGAACCAAGTCCCTCAAGTTGTCTCTGACCTCCATACACACACGTAGCCCCATCATCCCACCACCTCCACCCCGCGATAACACCTCATGATACACTCAACTCAGTGTAATAGTGATCACTGTATAAATTCCACATAAATAAACAGATCTGAAAAGTTTCCTTTCAGAAGACGACACAGAAACAGTGGTCACCATCATCCAGTGCATGGTGTTGGTAGAGTCTCCCAGATCACCAGGCCCTTCAGTAGATGTCTTCCCCTACAAAAATCCCTCGAGTAGTCAAACTATGCTTTCATTGAAATCTCTAAATGGGATTAAGGACAGAAGAGGCCGCTTAGCTCTTTTCTATTTTACACTGAGTTTCTAGACAAGAAACTTGGAAGCTGAAGGACCATATGGTCTCTCAGATGTTCTCCAGATGTAGCCTATTAGTCAGCCAACACATGAGAATGACGATCAGGATTTAGTACAAGAGAAGGGCAGCGAAGAATACCTGGGCATGGTTTTTTGTTATGTTCACTGAGGAACTATATATTACTATGGGCTTTAAATATCTGGGGACTGCCTTCTGGTTGAGTCTGCCAGCCCTATCAAGTGTCTTACATCTGAAACAAGGTCATTTTAAAATTCCTACATTTCATTTAATTCTAGGACTGGTCAAAGAAATTTACTCATATTTGTAAGTTAGAGGCATCTGTCAATCTGGTCAGATGTCCAAGTGCAAGGCATCTTGGTGCCATCCTTCAGCCATTGCTCAGTTCTGTCAGCATCCCTGAAACCGGAAGACATGCTAACAGGGCTTACTTCCAGCAAGACAAGCACTGCAGTGGCACACCATGAACTTTCACACGTCATTTCAACTGCTCCTTCACATTTCTTCAGTAGAACTTGCCAAGACAAAATAGATCTTGGGTGATACCTTAGCTCTTAATGCTTTCTTTGTTCCCTCTTCACAACACATTTAAAATAAAAGGAAGAGCCACACTCACCACCACCACACTCTTGGATGCATCCAGGACATGGATTACAGGGGCACTGTATCGTGGTGCTATTTTAACTGCTGTGTGGGTTCTGAAAATAAGGGTCAGGAAGAAAAGCATATCCATCAGTGCTGACAGCTCTTTGCTCAAACAACTTGTGTTCAGAACCATTAGAAATATTATGCTTCTACAGTTATTTTCAAGAGAAAGACTTCAAGATACTTACTTACAAATATTGAACTTCAAATTTCCTTTATAAAGCAAGAATGACTTTTCACCATCCCGAGATGGGAAAACAAGGTGAAATGTCATGAACTGATAGGCCTAGGTTCCCAGGGAGCTGACCAAATGAGTAAGGTTTGTTCTTAGTTATCTGCCAACAAGGAATGAGTTCCAGCCCAGGTGCTCATCACAGCCTGCTTAAGCCAAGGGAAGAACCAGTCCCTGGCAGTCACACCCTACTGTCAGCAAGGTCAACTTCCTCCCTCCAAATGAGCTGGGAGAAGAGCCAGCACCCGGGGAAGCAGGAAGCAGGCAGAAGACCTAGGGCACAGATCTGTTGCTTCCTCTTTGAGAAAGACATCTGTACCACTGGCCTCATCCCACTTTCTCCTTGTAAAAAGAAACCCCAGACCTGAAATGGAACAAAAAAACAGAAAGAGGCAGGGATATATCTGAACAGTATACTCTTACTACAATGCAGAAAGGCCTAGGCTCAATCAATCCCTAATATCACGAAAGTAAATCAATTAGTTAAAACAAATCATAGAAGTAACAAAATATTACATACTAAGATTTGCTCTGCCCCAGGTTTCTATTGCCAAATTTTAGCATGCAGTATCAGGAACAACCTTAATTCTTAAATATCACATTTAACATGTTAAATATATTGTTCTGATTGCTAGGTGCTTATAGCAATGGTGTAGGCTATGTATCAATAATTTAAGAAATATACAAAATTAAGTGAGATCTGGAAACAAATACAGCCTCCCTTTAAGTGGTTAAAGTGGAACCTGAAGATGGAGAAAAGTGGCTCACAGGATGGCTTACAGAAGTTCCCACCATGTATTTCCTGTCCTTTCCTCCTTCCCAATCAGCTATTTTCATATTCTTTCCCTTAGTCAAAGGGTATTATAATCTTTTATTTCCTCTCATAGCCTAGTCTAGAATTATTTTAACAGGGCTGGTGAGATGACTCAGGCAGTACATGTGCTCACTGCACAAACCTGATCACCTAAATGCCTGGGGCCCACATAAAGGTAGATGAAGAGTGCCAGTGAGATGTCAGTGAGTAAAAGGCACCCTCTGCCAAGCATGGTAACATAAACTCAATCCTTTGGACCCAAGTTGTCCTCTCCCCGCTACATGCACACAGTAGCATATGCACACCCAAGAGAACCAACTTCACAAGCTTGTCCTCTGACCATCACACACACACACACTTTTAAAAACAAAGGAGAAAAAAATAAAGATGGAGAAATCAAGATGGAATTAGAACAGCTTCAAAAATGCATTCCATGAAATCCTACACACATCCTACCTTTTAAGCTTCCCTACTGAAAGCTCATGGTCAAAGTAAAGAGGAAGATAAAAGTTACCTTACTTCTGATCAATTAAATATACATACACACTCAGAAAATTATCTCTACCTTATAGAAATTTGACTTTCCATTAAATTTTTTTAAAAAAGGAAATTACAAAACTACTCTGTAGTTGTCTTGACTGGTTTTGTGTCAACTTGACACAAGCTAGAGTTGTCAGAGAAGAAGGAGCATCAGATGAGGAAATGTGAGGAATACTCTTTATACTATGTGAATATATATCACTGTGATTGGTTTAATAAAGAATTTGACTGGCCAATAGCTGGACAGGATAAGATTGGCAGGAAAACCAGACTACAGACACTGGGATGAAGAAGGGAAGAGTCAGAAGAGTCACCATTGAGACATGGAGAGGAAACAGGAGGTGAAAGATAAAAGAGCAGTAACATCACGTGGCAGAATGCAGACTGATAGAATAAATGGGTTAAATTTGTAAAAGTTAGCTAGTAACAAGCCCGAGCTATTGGCCAAGCATTTATAATTAATATTAAGCCTCTTTGTGATTATTTGGGAGAGGCTTCTGGGACACCAAAAAACTCCACCAAAAGAAATGCCTCCAAGAGATCCAGCTGTAAGACATTTTCCTAATTAGTGACTGATGGGGGAGGGTCCAGCCCATTGTGGAGGGTGGGTGAGGCCATCCCTGGGTTGGTGGTCCCGGGATCTGTAAGAAAGCAGGCAGAGCAAGCCATGATGAGCAAGCCTGTAAGCAGCACCTGTTTATGGCTTCTGCACCAGCTCTGGACTCTAGGATCCTGTCCTGTTTGAGTTCCTGTGTTAACCTCCTTTGGTGAAGAGCTGCAATGTGGATTCCTGCCCCAGCTTGCTTTTGGGTCATGGTGTTTCATCACAGCAATAGAAACCCTAACTGAAACAGTGTAATTGGCTACACATTGACTTTCAGAATGTATACCCTATGAATTTCTGCCTATAACAAGGACAGATTTCCATGAAGTTCCCACATGTGATACCACATCAGCCACACTGCAGATAAAATAACAGTTGGTTTTCTCTTTTATAAATACAGGTTTAGCCTGGGCGGTGATGGCACATGTGTTTAATCCCAGCACTTGGGAGGCAGAGGCAGGCGGATCTCTGTGAGTTCAAGGCCAACCTGGTCTACAGAGTGAGTTCCAGGATAGCCTCCAAAGCCACAGAGAAACCCTGTCTCGAAACCCCTCCCCACCAAAAATAAAAAATAAAATAAAATAGAAAATAAAATAAAATAAAATAATACAGGTTTAAAAGGGACACTCCAAGTATATTCCCACCCATCTCTGACCCTAACCTTCAGCCTTCCTAAAGACTAAATGGTCTTGTACCCAAATATCTGGGAACACAAGTCTGGTTCATGCTGCTACTGGAAAAGTCACAGCTTATCACCCTCAGAAATCTGTCTCATAAAATCATACAAGTCCAGAACTGTCATCTGGCAAAGGGAAGAATTAGGCACTGGTGTACCCTCAGTCATCCGAGGAGAAGCAACCAGGGGTCTGAGGACAGTTTTTTGGTTTGTCTGGTGGCTCTTGCCTGAGTCTCCAGCCTACACATTCCAGACCTTCCAGCTACAATCACATGAGCCAATTCCTTAAAAGAAACTTTTCACTCCCTGAGGAGCTCCAGAATATCTATGACACTGTTATTTCACTTTTGCACTAGAAAAAAGAAAGAAAACCTGCACACTGTGGGACCAAATCCAATGCTCCAGCTTGATACTATCCCCTGCCAACCATCAAGTCTTCAATGTAAGAAATGCTGCAAAAGCCCAGTATCTCTTGCCATGACCAGGATCCCAGGAAGAACTTGGACCAAACACTCCCCATGTGACTCAATGTGAACATTCTCCTCTTTAAGTCTTTTATACTGAAGTTTTCCCCAAAGTCATTCCCTCAGAAACAACACCTTCAACTGACTTCCTAGTTCATTTTCATTAATGTGTCTCTATTACAAGGTTAGAGTGTCTTCAAGGGAATTTATAATTACTTAGCAAGATTCCTGCTGGAACAGAATGGGTAGAAGATCAAGCAATATCTTTCTAGAAAAACAAAACAAAACAAAAAACCCTCCACAGTCTAATTTCAGTATAATTTCAAGAGGGTTAAGAGTACATTATAATTCTTACTGCCTGAAAGACCAGAGGATTAAGGAAAAGATAACTATAAGCCAAAACAGGGCAATCACAAAAGGAATTTCCAAAATCGGGCTCTAGAAGCCTTCTAACACTTCCCAGTGAGAGAATGGAAAGCTATACAACAAAGAGACAACATGCTAAGCAAAAGCAGAGAACACAGCATGGTCACAAACACTGCCATCTAAGAGAATTTAAAGTGAGTATAGAGCTCATCACACCGACTTACCTTGACGTGGTTGCTCCTCCTATCAACAACGGAATCTTTATAGCCAACCTCTCCATTTCCTTGGCAACAAAAATCATTTCATCCAGGGATGGAGTGATGAGTCCTGACAAGCCAATTATGTCTATTGAAAAAAAAGAAAAAAGAAAAAGAAAAAGAAAAAAAACAGTGAGAATGAAAAAGAAAGAAGACCACTTTTAAAAAATTTTGTACTGTGGGGAAGGGCCTAGGCCTGGCCCAGGATGATGTGGTAGACTTTGGGGGAATAAAAAAAAATGTACTGAAGATCAGAAAATCTAACATACCAATTTCTAATTCTGGGAATTTAGTATTTGCTTTGGGTAATAAAAAGTGTAACAAATTTGTAACAAAATATTTGCAACAGATTTGGGAAGCCACATAAGAGAAATTATCTCTAGTTCATGGTAATCTCAGACTTGACCATAAAAACAACTATACAAGAAAAAAAAAAAAAATCCAACCCAATTGTTTTCCTCTAAGAAGTCAGCCCACTCCACCTCTAGAACACAGGAGGCCCATGGACACTCACACACCTCTTTCAAGCCCTGACAGCCATTAGTGGAGACCGCTGCCTCAGACCCCACAAGGGCTGGGCTTTCCAGACTCCAACAGACTCAAGGAGTATAATGCTGGACGCTACACCCAGCAGACTATGGCACAGTACCTGCTTTGTGGTCCAGAGCTGCTTGAAGTATCTTATCACACGGAGTCATGACTCCTAAATCAATAACTCTAAGGCAGGAAATGAGATGTCAGAAAATTAACAAAAACTCAGAAGAGACAAAGCTGAAATGAACATTTTAATTTTAGTCACTAAATGCTGCTGTAATATAAACTGGAACCATAGTCATTCGTGTTAGTATTTTTTTCCCTTTGTTTTGTTGTTTTTGTTTTTTGTTTTGTTTTTTGTTTGTTTGTTTTTTTCTGGAGCAGGGGACTGAACCAGGGCCTAAGCACTCTACCACTGAACTAAATCCCTAACCCCCACATTAGAGCTGAAATATGCCCCTAAGGCCAGTATTTTAAAGGCTTGGCTCCCAGCTTGGCCTTTGTATTTATTTTTACTCTTGTGTTGTTGAAGCAGGATCCCTGTGCTTCCCTTGCTTTTTCACATCCCAGGTATTGAGGCTTTTACATGACACTTCTCACCATGCTATGCTATGCTGCCACAGGACCAAAAACAACAGGGCCAACAAGGGGCTGCAATCTCTGAAATTATAAACTGAAACAAACCTTTCCTCTAAGTTACCACAGGTATCTCCTATAGTGACCGGCAGCTGACTGGCACACTGCATTCTCTTACCCATTCATCTACTGACAGATACCTGGGTTGTTTCCACTACATTGTGATTGTTGACTGGCAATCTAAACCCTCCCCTCAACTCTGTGTCACAAGTACCATTAGATTCCCATGAGCTGTGTCACACCCTGTGTCACACCCATTTTAATGAAAAAGGAATCATTTAAGATAAGGTCCCATCACTCAATTAATTGGCATCGGAGTTGGGGTATGAATAAAAAACTAGGACAAAACCTATTATCTCATCTGTTTGGGCCAAAAAAAAAAGGTGCTGGTGGGAGCCAGAGAAAGGAAGAGCAGGAAGAAGTTAGTACCTGCACATGCAGAGACTGCACACAGGTAAGGAAAGGAAGAGAGAGTGACTCAGAGACAGTCACCAAGACAGGTCATAGGCACACAAATTGGAGGGCAAGCACCGAGACAGAACAGGGAGCAGGGTCTGGGGAAATGGTTCAGCAGTTAAAAAGCCCTCGCTGCTCTTGCAGGAGGCTCACAGTCCAAATCCTAGCACCCATATTAGGTGACTCACACCCCTTGTAATTCCAGCTCATGGAGATCTAATGCCCTCTTCTGGTCTCCAAGGTCACGCAAACACATATACCTAAGTTTAAAAATAACTATTAAAAACAAAGGGATGGAGGCAAAATAATGCCAAAGAATTTCAAAGAAGTATACAACCTGGAACTGGTAGAAACTAGGAAGGCTCTGGAGACCTTCTACCTATTATACTTCCATGTTGAGAAGTTCCACTGTGTATTTTTTTTTCACTTGACCTTAGCAAATCTGTTACATGATTTAAAAATTAGAGCATGTATTTTAATTTATTGTCAGAAATTTTTTAAACCAAAAGAAAACTGACAGGTGTGTATAGTAGTACATCCCAGAACTCAGAAGGGTGAGGCAAGAGGATTGCTATGAACTGGAAGCCAGCCTGGGCTATAGCAAGTTCCAGGATAGCCTGGGCTATACTGTGAAACTCTGGTCTTAAAACAAACAAATGCTTAAAGTTCTTTCTTTTTTAGTTCACTTAAGAACATCTCTAGAACATAATATCAAAAGTCAGTAGTGAGTGCTGAACACAGGGGTGGGAAGTAAGACTTGCTTATCACTTTTATTGCAAACCCTCTTATACTAATGGATTGGTATCTTGTCCCTATATTTTTTTACAAGAGGTTTGTTTTCAACCTGAAATTGTCTCACTTTCTGTTGAGGGTTCCATAGTGTTGGTTAATTAAAAAAACAAAAACAAAAACAAAACAATCACTGGGCTCTGTTAGTACTGGCCAATGGCAGACAGATGCTGGTGCTGGTGACCAATAACCCCTAGGTTACTGTTGTTTTTTAACATAGTAAAGAAAAATCTAGTAACTAAAGATCTTTTGCTTAAGATGACTAAGTATACATTGCTGAATATAAAATTAGGAAAAAGAGCAAACAGCTTTTAAATTAAGACAAAAATGTATGCACCACCAAGCTGATTCTTTACAACACCATATGGTTTTGACATTTTCTAGCCTTTAATGGCTAAACTGTCACTCCAGCCCTGTATTAAGTTTTTAAATCTGATTAAAATCATCAGAATAATGGCAATTATCTTGCTCTCACAGTTCTCTCCCATTTAATCTTGCTACTTTAGGGTATGTCTTACTTGCATGAGGAAAATCCAGGTGACTATGGTGGTTGAACAGAGACAGGAAAAGAAAAGGTTGTAGGGCAAAGGACAGAAACTATACATCACACACACCCAAAGAAGCAGAAGGCTTCTCAGACCCAGGGTCAAGAGCCACCATCAGACAATGGAACATACACTGTTTTCAACTGAGCCCAACTGGAAACTGGCCTGTATTTCTCAGAGATTGTGATTTCATCGGCACAAAAGGATCCTGTCAGCTCTGAAGTCTGAAAAAAGACCTTGTAGATCGGGGCAAGGACTATGATTCTCTGATAAGAGAAGTCACTTCAGGCGTTGAATGGAGGAGTAAGATTGGTTCCAGTCAGACAGACAGACACACACACACATACATACACACACATACACACAGAGGCATTGTTTTTAAAGCATTCTTAAAAAGCGTTTTAAGCACACACTGTACTTGGGATTCAAATTCAGAAAAAAATATAAGCTACAAAACATGAGTATCCAATAACATCTTAAATTACACAGAGTATATAAAATAGATAAAAATAGCTCTTTTCCTCTTGAGGAGAAATCTCAAAGGAAAGGGACAATTGTATAGCAAAAGAGATGGAGCTGATGGACGTTATTATGTTAAGAGAAACAATCCAGATGCAGACATAGGACCTCTCTCATGTGAAGAGAGTTAAAAATTAATTACCAGAGGCTAGACAGGGTGAGGAAGAGGAGGATAAAGGGCTGATGCCTCAGTAAGGATGCATAAGGACACAAACGCTTGCTCAAGATACATCGTATACATGTGTTTTAAAGTCATACTGCACTTCATAAATGTGTAACTTAGGAATATGTGTTCCTTGTTAATTAAAAATAGGAGAGAGGTAGAGGAGGGAAGGGAGAAGGGAGTGGGGATGGGGTACTCAACTGTACTAAACTTCAGTTCCTCTTTCGGGAACCTGATAGTGGCTGGTGTTTCCTCACTGCTGAACCATCCAACCAGTCCAGCACCCAGCTGTGATTTTTTTTTTTTTTTTTTTTTTTTTAATTATTGTTGTTGTTCCCTCTACCTGGTAAAGCAGTACTCACAGGACCTACTGCTATTGCTTCCACTCCCACCCCCACCCTAACTGTGCATCATTTGAAGTCCTCAATCTGGGACATACCTTCTGGTGGAAACACACATAAAAGGACCTAGAAGGAAGCTTTTGCTCTGATTACTTGCCTGGGCTGGCCTGGAACTCACCATGTTGATCCACCCACCCCTGTGCTTGAGAACTGGATTAAAGACATACACCTCCATGCCCAGCCCATTTCTGTTTTAAAAACCTAAAACTTTGAAAGTCCTCCCATCAAAATAAGACAAGTGAAAGGCTTCTAAATTATCAATGACCCTGTGAGGTCAAATTGAGGATCCTGAGGGAGGCTGGATGAGCATCATCTGCCCGTGACTTATAGTAGTTCTCTGTTGATATGCAGATTTTTTATACAATTAGTGTTAAATAGGAAAAGTACATAATTGTCTTTTCCATACTTGAGTATATTTAAAATCAACTATTATGCAATCAATAATCTGATCAAAACACTTCTGAATATTCTAATATTTCTCAATGGAAATTTAGCATACAAAATGAGCCAATTCAATTAAAGTTGATGCCATCAAAACAATAATGGCAAGTAAGTTACATCACAGAACAAAGGCTGACTTGTCATTTCAATGAACAATAAGTAGATGGTAGAAACTGAAGTCCTGACTTTCAAGGCTAGGAAAAAATGCTGTCTTCAAGACAAAGGCTGGAAAGAAAGGTAGAAAGACTGTCCATGCAGAAAGCTGCCCCCCACCCTCCTTAAACAGCCAGCCTTAGCCTTCCTGAATGGAATCTAATCAGTGTTCCAGACAGAAATGGGTCAAGTGTTGAGAGGCCAGAGACTGGGAAGCTCACTGTTAGCTGACAGCAGAAACGAGATCACAAGAGAGCATAATCACAGCACCAGCAGACTCCTCCACCAGAGAAAAGGCACAGTGGAAAGTAGCCCATGACTCCAAAGGACTGCTAGCTAGCCATGGACCACGACAGGCATTAGTGATTTTTCATCGAAACATATTGTGAAGTTGAGAAAATATAAATTATTAGCTTATCTGGAGATAACTTTGGTATGAATGTTTATTCATTATGGGATATCAAAAAGGGGTTTTACCTGAATATATCATTCCAAAAACTATATGGTCACTGTGATGGCTAATCTTGGTTGTCAATTTGACTACACTTCAAAGTATCTAAAACTCAAGCAGCTTGGTGTACTTGTGAGGAATTTTTCTTGGTTGGATAATTTGAAGTTGGAGATCCACCCTAAATCTAGATCATTTAAGGTCAGAAGGTTCACCCTAAATCTGAACCATACCTGCTTAGTGGCAGCCCACGTAAAAGGACATGACAGAAGGAAGCGTTTGCTTTCTGTCTGCCTGCCCCGACTCTGAGTAGTAAAACCTAAGAATTCCAAAGTGGATGAAAACTGGCACTCTCTAGGACCTCCCTGGGACTCCAGCACCAGATAGGCATGGCTGAGATATCCAGTCTCACTGACCAAATAACTATTGGATCCTCGGCCTTTCTGTCAGGAAGCAGTCAGTATTAAACTACTTGGACCACAGCCTGTAAGCCTCTCTAATAAATCAAATTCTTTACAAATATATAGGTAGATATTAGTTCATTCTATCAGTTCTGTTCCTTAGAGAACACTAGTATAATCACCGAGAAACACAGAGGATGTCAAGATTAGTAAAGGCAAAGCCTTCCTAAAAAGCCAGCTAGAACCCTGATCTAAAACCTGGCAGTTTGCTGAGTGGAAAATAATACATGCTGACCATTAGAAGCCTTGTAATGGCTGGTTTTGTGTCAACTTGACACAAGCTAGAATCATCAGTGAAAGGAACCTCAGTTGAGGAAATGCCTCCATAAGATGCAGCTGTAAGGCATTTTCTCATTTAGTGATCATTGGGGGAGGACCCAGCCCATGATGGGTGGTGCCATGCCTGGGCTGGTAACCCTGGGTTCTATAAGAAAGCAGGCTGAACAAGCCAAGTAAAGCAAGCCCAAAAGCCGCACCCCCTTCATGGCCTCTGCATCAGCTCCTGCCTCCAGGATCCTGCCCTACTTGAGTTCCTGTCTTGACTTCCTTTGGTGATGAACAGTAATATGGATATGTAAGCTGAATAAACCCTTTCCTCCCCAACTTGCGTTTTGGTCATGGTGTTTCATCACAACAGGAGAGACCCTAAGTAAAGCAAGCCTAATTCGCAACTATCAGGGACTATGTCCAATACACAGTCTCAAGAAGCCTCCTGGATGCCTAGCCCCTAGGGATTGCTTCTTATTTTCTATGCCCTTAACAAATAGTAAGAGATGCTTAATTATGAATTACAAACCTACAAAAAGAGGCGTGTTCACAGCTGTAGACAAAAACAACAACAAAACCAAAAAAAAAAAAAAAAAAAAAAAAAAAAAAAAAACCACGACCTTATCCTTGGCCATACCCTAGGCCATCTCTCTCACCCAGTAAAAGATGTATGATTTACATTTTAAACATGTAGGGAATGAAGTGAGGTCTCAACTTACCTGAAATTATTGCATCCCAGCACCACACCAACTATGTTCTTGCCTATGTCATGCACATCACCTTTAACAGTGGCCAACACAATGGTGCCTTGGTAAGGGTCCTGCAAAATGAGGCAAGCAGCTGAGCATGGGGGTGGGGGGGTCACCAGGGAATACCATCTTCTTTTCAAGAGTCACACAGTTGATGGCAGAGGAATAAACACCAAAACCACCTCAAACACAGGTCAGTGACCTAAGTAACAGACTCTACTTGGAACTCTGTGCCTCACAGAAGTTCAAAAGAGGCCTGCCTCGAATGTCAGCCCAGGGATTTCAAACAAGCTCATAAGTTCTAGCATCTGAAAGAGAGTCAACAATCAAAGATACAATCCTACAGCTAGACCACATCCTTAAGCCTGAAATTGCCAGGGTATACTGCTGACAGTAGGAAAAGAGGGAGTACTGTGGATATTTAACTATGTAAAAATGTGTTAAATTTGTTTGTGCTGCAGAATATTACTTTAACTGTGTAAAGATGTGTTACATTTGTTTATGCTGCATTTGTTTAATTATGTAAAGATGTGTTGCTGTTTCACATTGCCTGCCTAAGGCACCTGATTAGCATAATAAAGAGCTGAATGGCCAAAGCTAGGCAGGAGAGTGCTAGGTGGGGCTGGCAGACAGAAGAAATATAGAAAAGAGAGGAGAGAATGAGGGAGAAAGAAAGAGGTCTTGGGTCAGTCATCTAGACGGAGTAGGACATACAGAAGGAGAGAAAGGCAAAAGATCCTGAAGCATACACACAGATGAAGGCAAACAGGTTATGTTATAAGAACTAGCAAGAAACGAGCATAAAATAAGGCCAAGCTTTCATTACGAATATTATAATTCTCCGTGTCATGATTTGGGAGCTGGCTGCTGGCACTAATAAAGCCTGCTATAAGGGAAGAGCTGGCCAACTGCAGAGTTCCCTCAAATTTTGAAAGCATCCCACTACAGGGAATGTAGAAGCATCTTCTATTTCTCTAAAACAGTTCTTTTGTACACCGATGGTACAAGAAAATGGAAAGGAAAAGGATGCAAGGCAAGCATCATCTCTCTAATTCAGCCAACTGCAAATTTAGATTAAGAATTTAAGAATTCTAGAGGCCAAAGTTGCTTGAACTACACAGGGCTCTAAAAGTAAAAAGACTAGTGGCTTACTCTGCTGGTATAGCCAGCAAGGATGAATGCTACAAGTGGTACCAAGGGTACAATCAAAAAGTATTTGGGGAAGAGCTTTCTGAAAGCAAACATGATACACACAAAACATGAACATGGCCAACAAGTTGACTCAGCAGGGAAAGGTACCTGCTGTGAAAAACTAAAGACCTGAGTTCCATGCCCTGAGCCCACCCACATGAAGGTGGAAAGAGGGCACCAAATGCATTTTCAAAAGCTTTACTGATGAAGCTCCAGCCCACAAAAACAATAGTCTTTCAGGCCAGCTCCTGAAAAGGCTCCAGGCATGAACAAAATGACTTGCCTCTTCTTCAACAGAGCCATTGAGCACTCTAGCTTCTTCTCTTTCTTTTTCCATGAAAGGGATAAGGTGTCCAACAGCCTTCTTCATGACACGGGCTGACTTTATAACCTGGAAAAAGCAGAGTCGGGCAGTATTAGCAAACTATCACATGACTGCCACTGATGACCTGTAAAGCTTCAGAACCAATTAAGAATGAATAATTCCTCCATAGAAGAGTTCTACAGTGAGCAGAATGAAGAAGAATTAGATCCCTGTGGGCAACACTAATAAATGAAGCACAGCAAGAGGAAAACCAAACACAAACCAAAGGTTGTAATTTCTGTTTCTGAACTTTTACTCAATAGGTTTTTTTTACTGCCTAAAGTCCTTCTACTGTGTTTCTGAATTCTATGCATCTTTTAAGTCCCATGTTTCAACCCATCATTCTATAAATCCCCAGTAGTGTAACTCACTTAAAATTGAGGTTTATGAAAGAAGAGGCTCATCTAGCTTTTTATATGCTTCAGAGCCTCTATCCTGGATGCTCAGCAAGGATTTGTTCAATGATAGTTTTAAGTAGTTGCTTTAATAAAATGTTCTGTTTTTACTTAAAACATATCATTAAAGTCCCACTGTTTTAGATTCTTAAAGATGGCCACTGGCTTGTCACATATCAAATGTTAGTATTAACATTACATTTATCTTGGGTTGAGGTGGCATAGAAATACAGAACATGCATATTACTAAGAATGTCTGCAAACTTTCTAACCGCTACACACTCTAAAGATGGACTGGCAAGAGATGATTTCTAAATACACCCAGAGAAGGAGTGATCAGATAAGTCAAGCTTTGCCTATACTGCAAAGTCAGGAAATACTCAAACTCACTATTTACTGAAAAACAGAGATTTGTTAAAATTTCTCTGTTTTGCCAACCTGAGGTAGAAACATCTTTCCAGCTCCGAAAAGATCACCAACCACTTTCATGCCATTCATTAGAGGCCCTTCAATTATATTCAGAGGTCGAGGGTATTTTTCCTGGTTTAACCTGGCTTCTTCAGTATCTTCAACAACATACTTTTCAATGCCCTTAAAAGAAAAAAAAGAAAGAAAAACAAGGGGTAAGGGAACAAACAAATGAGCCAGAGAGATGCTTAACAGCAGGAATCCCAGAATCAGTCTGATGGAGTCTGAGTCCGGGTTCTCATCACTAACTCAGGTAGTTTATTAAGTCTTGGTTTCCTCACTTATAGAATCACGAAAGTACTAACCTTGTGCTTATTTGGACAATCACTGTGACATCATTTATTTACAGTGCCTTGCTATTAAGAGGAAATAACTTAGAAAAGTGAGGTATTAGTGAAGACTGGGAATGTAACTCAGTGGTAGAGTAGGTACTTATCATGTGTGAGGGTCTGGGTTCAAGCCCTTAACAACTGATTATATGCTAATACATAAACATCTCTATAAAATCAGTCTCTCTGTTTCATGAGGTGTGGTGATGCATGCCTTTAATCCTAGCACTTAGCAGGCACTGACTGGCAAGTGGAGTTCTGTGAATTCAAGCCTAGCTTGATCTACATGGTGAGTTCCAGGTCAGCCAGGGGCACACAGTGAGATCCTTTCTCAAATAAACATTAAACCAGTATCTTCTCTCACTATAACACTACTTGCTAAAATGGAACTTTCCTTGCCTGGCTTGCCTTTGCTGATAAGCCTCTAAAGCCGAGGATCCTCAAAGATTGTAGGATACAAATGAATAGTCCACAAACTGAAATATGTGACTTGCCTTTGCTGATAAGCCTCTAAAGCTGAGGATCCTCAAAGATTGTAGGATACAAATGAATAGTCCACAAACTGAAATATGTGACTCTCAGAAGGTCTAAGAATTAAAAGTTAAATTCTACAGCCTTTAAAAAAAAAACATTCTGGAATTTCCCAGACTTATGAATGTAGAAACTGAGGTCACTACTACTGTCCTGATGACTGACCAAAAGGAACTTGGTCTAGGAAGGGTTCTCTAGCTCAGAACTACTAACTGCCTCGGCAAGTCCTTGCTGTGTATGTGGACCTATCCTGTACACTGCAGCCAATAAGTTCCAGAGCATCTTCCACACCTATCTGTGAGAAATGTCAAAGGGCCCTGGGAAACAGACCCTGCAGGTTAAGGATCAATGATCCAAAGTCTAAGGCAGTGCCCCCTCTAACTGCTGTCAGCAATGGCACCAGGGAACCATGAGTCACCAGGCTTCCTGTACAGGCTCTAGGACTCACCTTCACGAGAGCATACTCAAGACGCTCTTCAATGGAACCATTCCTCCACTCATCTGTCTGGATGACTTTCTTCCCTCCTTTGCCATGAGTCTGAGTTAAAATTAAGACCATACAGTGAGTACAAATGATACACAGTGAATTATCTGCAGCAAATAAAAAAAAAAAAAATCAGTGCCTTATCCTTTCTTTAAGTTCCCAGACCCCAGGGTGTTCAACATGAATCAAGACTGAAGTAAATGTTGAGAAAGGAAAACAAAAAAAAGGAAAACAAAAAACCAACTTTTAAAATTTGAACTTTCAGTAGAGAAAGGGAATGGTTGTATATTTTCTTACCTAAAAATTAACAACTAACATTAAAATATTTCTAGAACATAAATGTTATTCTTTATCTAACACTCCAGCTCTCAGGAAGGATCAATACCACCCACACACTATCTCTGATAATCTGGGAGCCATGAGCAGTGGTGTCACATTCCTATAATCCCAGCACTTGGAAAGCTGAGGCAGGAGGATTGTGAGTTCCAGGCCAACATACACTACATAATGAAATCACATCTCAAAAAAATTAAAAGGCAATAAAGGATTGTGTGTTGATATATTGTTTATGATTTAACAAAGCTTGCCTGGGGATCAAACTACAAATCGAGCCACATTAGACAGCCACAGAAGCTGGGATGTGGTGGCACACACCTTTAATCCCAGGCCTCAGGAGACAGAGGCAGATGGATCTGTCTGAGTTCAAGAGACTGTGGCAGCATGCACAGGGTCTGCATACGGTCAAGCCAGATGGAGTACCAGTGCTGAGAGGAGGAATTGGACATAAGCTCCCCTTCTTAACCAAGAAGTTATCTTCAACTGACAATATTTGCAAAGGAGACTGCAATGAAGTCTCACTAGGTATATAAAACACACTTAAGAGTGGGCCCCATGACTGAAGTAGACTGTCAACACAAAATAAATGCAATGTTCTCTTTGTAGATTTTATTTTTGTATCATATTGCTTTGCTGGGCATTTTTTAATCTTACTAGTGGTCTTTTGCTTGTATATTATGGTTTCTGATATTGTGCTTCTATGAGTTGTGTGTGTGTGTGTATGTTTCTTGTATTCTTTTTTTTTTCTATTCTTTTTTTTTTATGTTTTCTAACAACAGAGAAAGAAAGCATAGAGTTGGATGGGTGAGAAGGTAGAAAGGATCTGAGGAGTTGAGGAAGGAGAAATCGTGATCAAAATATATTGTATGAAAAAATGTATTTTCAATAAGAAAATGTGTATGTGCACATAAGTGTATTCGTGTGTGTGTGTGTGTGTGTGTGTGTGTGTGTGTGTGTGAGAAATGACTATAGCTGTGTGTAAGAAATGACTATAGCTATAATGAAACCTTATCCTACAGTCATTACCTTCAGTGGTAAAACTGTAATTTTTATTTTCTTCTGATTACTACATCCTGTGAATTTTCTACAATTAACATGCGTTGCTTAATGTAAGAAATATATCAAGATGGACGTGATATCTTACACCTTTAAAACCCAGTACTCAGAAGGTACAGGCAGGAGGATATCTATGAGTTTGAGTCTAGCCTAGTCTACAAAGAATTTCAGAACAGCCAGGACTGTTACACAAAAGAAATCCTGTCTCAATCCCACCCTCCCCCCAAAAAACTCTCATTAAAATAATCAAATTTAGAAAAGTCTAAGTTCAAAATACTAAAGCAATCTATACAAGATCTACTTCTCCCTCCTCGCCTACCTGCAATACCTTCTCTAGAACACTATAAAAGCCATGACGACGATGATTAATGATCCAGAGATACAACTCTACATTTGTTCCCATTCTACAATAAAGATCCAGTAACTACCAATGAGTGATAAATGCTAAGGCAGGAAAAGAGACCCTTTGAGCACTTTTTCCCTTACCTGGGCATATCGTAAGAGTTTCTCAGTAGCCTCAGAGTCTTTGTTCCAGATGAGGTCTTCACAGAGCTGAAGAAGGTCCTTTTGGATATCATCATACACAGGGAGGTTGCCTGCATTGACTATCCCCATGTCCATACCAAACTAAGGGCAATACAAAAGAAAATGAGAATTTATACTGACATCCTAAATTGGGGATCAGAGAAAAATACTTTATGACATAGCTGGTCACTATTCAACTCTGCTGTAGTGTAAAAGCAGCCCTAAAAAAGACACAGAAGGGATGAGGGCTCTCTGCACTGAAGCTTCATTTGAAGACAGAAGCAGGCCAATTATCTGGCAGGGCTCAGTCTGTAAGCCTGCTGTAAGTCAAAGTATAGTGCCATTATTTTTGTTTTATTTCTTTGAAAAATTTGTGTTTACGATATATATGCATATATTTGTGCATGGGTACACACATACCATGGCACATGTATGGAGGTCAGAGGACAACTCTGGGTGTTGATTCTTGACTTTCATTTTGTTTCCTACAGGGATTGTTGTTCTCCACTGCACATGCCAGGCTAACTGGCTCAACAATCTTCCAAGTATTCTGTCTCCATCTCTCATTCTACAGTAGGAGTTACTACTACACTAAGATTCACACAGGCTGTGAAATTTCAACTCAAGTCCTCAGACTTGAACAGCAACACTTTATCCACAGAGCCATCTTCCCAACACCTAAGACAAGGATGGTTTCACCATACCTTGATTGCATGGTAAAGGAAAACACCGTGCATTGCTTCTCGAATGGCTTCCATCCCTCGGAAGGAGAAGGACAAGTTAGAAAGACCTCCACTTATTCTGACTCCTGGTAATGTTTCCTGGCAAAAGTGTAAAAGCATGAAAAGATTCGCTTATCTTGTTAAAAGCCACAATCAGTCATATCTTATAAGCTATGTACACAGGAGAAGTAAAAAGAAAGTTCAAAGTAACTCTGAGCTTATTACCAGGCAAAGAACGGTTTGCTACATCACTATCACGTACTCTGGTTCCTCTTATATAAGTCAACCTCTAATTCCAGTTCCAGGGAATCCAACACTCTTTGGCTTCCTTGGGCACTTGAATACACGTAGTACACAAAAACTCAAATAGGCACACATACATATACATAAATAAAAATGAATACATATTTAAAGATACTTTATTTGGTGTGTGCATCTTAATTATTAACACTGAATTTGTGGCCAGCAGCCCTGTGACTTATGTCTGAATAAGGCTTTCCAGCAAGCATTTTCTGCACTAAGCACACTAGGCACAGGTGTCTGCCCTTGTGACCATTAGAAAGCACTGCACCTAGACTGAAAGGCACTTTCAAGCAGGGAAATCACAAACAGAAACCAGAACAATATTAACGGGCACTGAACAGAACTAACAAGACACCTGTTTGCAAAGTAAGAGCTAAGTGTCTCCAAGGTCATCCTCATCTGAGGGTATAAGTCAAGCCTACACAAGGGCACATTCCCAGTTGACTACAAAAGCAGCTTGAGTACTGACTCAGGTTAAAACCAAATTTTAGAGTATATACTGGCAAGTGCAAAAATCAATGGATATAATGTAAACTGAACATGTATATAAGTAATAAAATTATTAGCAAAAACAATAATGAAGTCCCAGAACCATAGATTCCAGAATGAAAGTTACTTCATGAAATTAGGAATAAGGCACACACAGAAAAGGAGAGAAATATGGGGCAGTAGCCTCATGCCACTTCAGAAAAGTTAGTTCCTATACAGTTCATCACTACTTATCTACCATAGACTACAGATTATGTTTTATATATTCTCATATGTGTTACACACCACAATTAAAATAGTATTATACAAAAGACAAAAGTACCTACATTTTAAAAAACAATTTACTAAGGATAGGAACGTTACTATTCTCAGCAAATCAGTATGTGTTAGTTCTAAGCACGCATTAAACCAAGGTGATAAATTTGAGCTGTGACTTAGGTAAAGACAGCAAATACCCAGACTTACTTTAATGATTCTTGTTGCATGAATAAAATTGATAGCATACAAGTTATGTTCTTCCATTCCAGTACCAATGGTAAGAATGTTGGGGTCAAAGATGATGTCATTTGGATTGAAGCCCAGTTTTTCCACAAGTAAATGGTAGGCTCGGGTACACACACTGATTTTAACATCTGTTTCTGTTGCCTGAGAAACAAGCAGAAATGTCATTTACAATAGAAAAGCAAACTGTTATCTATGGAAACAGCATATGTCACTTATCAAAACCACTCAAAACTTCAATGATGGTATGTCTTTGAAACCAATGTCAAACCTCTAAACATTCATCAACTTGTCTCAGAAAAGAATCAGTTGAAGACTGCTCTCAATATAACAATTTTATTCCTTTTATTAAATTTCATTAATGATATATTAGCAAAGTGGCTTTCTAAAGATAGATGTGGTTTAAAAATCAAACTCCACTAAAGATAAAAACTAAGCAACTGAGCATCACACCTGTCATTCTGGCACTTGAGAGGGTGAGGCAGAACTGTGGCATGTAGGGGCCACCCTGAGTTACATGCATGAGTAACAAGTCACTGTGGGCTAACAATGGAAAAGAGTTCTTCAAAGTGTCCCATTTCTCCTGACCTGCCTCCAATGTGCCAATCACTCACACAAACAATACTGCTGTTGCTTTCTTGGTAATTCCTTCAAGGCAGAAACAAAGACATACCCACCTACCATAACACATGCTTGGCACCACATGCTCAAGTAGCAACTACAAGTTAGTGCTGGGCCTAACGGCACAAACCTTTCATTTCAGCACCTGGAAAGCAGAGACAAGTGGATCTTGGAGTTCAAGGCCAGTCTGATCTCATTAGGGACTCAAGGCCAGTCTCATTAGACCTTGTCTCAAATCAAGCCAAAAGCTAGAAAGATGGCTGACCAGTCAAGAGCACTTACTACTCTTCCAAAGAACCCAAATTTGGTCCGCAACACCATCAAGGCTCACCACTTGAATTCCAGAAGACCAGACTTCTTTCTTTTGGTCTGCAGATACTGTTTGCACATGGTATACATACATACACGCAAGCAACATTCGTACACATAAAATAGTCTTTTTTTAAAAACCTACAAATTATCGTCATCCTTCTAAGCAGGATCCTCAAAAGCAAAACACAGATTCTGGTAAGGCTCACCCTCCCTGCTCCTCCACCCACTACACTCAGTCAGGGCCTTGACCTCCACCACTATCCCACGATTTGCCCCCACTCCTCACTACTGCTTTAATGTTCCTAAAACCTGCCATGCTGTGGCTACCTCAGAGACTTTCCATTTCCATCTATTGCTGCCCAGCCCAGAACACACAAAACTGTACTTCATGGCTCACGGGTGTGAAGTCAGGTCTCCCTGCAGTCTCCCTCCAAATCAGCATACTACCACCCTTCCCACCTCTTGATAAAGTACTCCTCTCCTTGAGGCATCTCTTTCCAGATACCTTACTGCTCTTGGTTGTTTTATTACCTATTATCATCTCCACTCAGTCCCCAGAGTCCAGAGCAGGGCCTGTTATAGAGTATGTGCTCAATACCACATTGAAGGGATGAATCAGTGAATGGATGCTACTTTTACAAAGTGTTTCTCAGCTTTCTCAAGGAAGCTGATTTCAGATCAAACCTCCAAACAGCATGCCCATCAAATTACATTCAGAATTTCTGACTATTGTTAATCTAATGAGCTCTGGAGGTGATCAAAAGAAAAAACAGTAGTCCTTTCTCACTCACATTTTCCTATTTCATGGTACTTGTTACCCACTGTCATCTGCAGTTCAAAAATACTAAAGGGAAGACTCTAGAAATGAACACTTCCTGAGTTTTTAAGTCTATGCCACTCTGAAGAGTACGAAGGAACTTCACATCTTGAACTGTCCTGCTCCTTCCCACCTGGGATATGAGTCATTGTCTCACATCCACTCACTGACTACATGCTCACACGATCCTTTTTTCATTTATTTATTTTAAGAGAGACTCTTGGTTCTGTAGTCCCAGATAACTTGAAACTTGGTGTGTTACCCTAGAGCCCTCAAGATCCATATGCCTCTGCCCCTAAAGTGCTGGAAATAAAGGCTCCACCACATCTGGCACATGACCTTATTTTACTCAGCGGCTCCTGAGCACAGGATTGGCGATGCTGACAAGTGGGATAACCAATCAGAAGCTATAAAGCACTCTCTGTAAGTAAAATGTCAAAAGTACAGGAAGGTATTTTGTTTGTTTGTTTGTTTGTTTGTTTGTTTTTCACAGTAATGGTACCCTTAAACAGCTGAATCAGAATCTTGAGGCTGGCTCCAGCAATTCATGAGCTCCTAGTGATGTTAATGCCCAGCCAACACACTGAGATTAGACCCATTTTAGGTAGTTGCTGAAAATCCTACTCTGCAGTGTTGAAGAGTAAGTTGGATGAAGCAATATCACTTTCTAATAGGGGTAGGGGCAAAGAGACACGCTTAACTCTCATTCAGGTGGAGAAATGCTAGGAGTGTGCTAGAAGCTGGAGTACTGAGCTCAGGAAGTATGTCACCTACATGCTTTGCTCTTCTTCCTGTGTGATGGTAACACCGTAGGACTAGAAACTTGGGCTCTTCATATCCCTGCTGTGAAAAACAATCTCTGAAGTTCAGAGAAGGTCAGAACAAGAAGTGTGAGGTCAAGTCACCGTCTTCAAGCTAAAAGTCAACTGAAAACAAAAACCTCCAGACTTCAGTCTCCCAGAGACAGAATACATTTTAATAAACCTATTAAACTGCTCACAAAAATCTGAGATATTCAATTTGGAAACAGTATCAGTTTATCCAAATTCAATGACAGAATTAAAACAAACAACAACAAAAACCATAGCAACAGCTATGTAGTCAGCCTACTAAGTAGCCATCCAAAGTCCTGCCAGAAGACTCTTAAGAATTCTTCAAAAATTCAAATGACAGGGCTGGGTGCTTGCTTAGCATGTCCAAGACCCCAGATTTGATCCCACAACAAGAAAGGGAGGGAGAGAGGAAAAAGGAGAGGGGAAAACTCAAATGGCTTTCCATTTGATGTCTAGACCGATATTGCCCATCTGATATTGGAGACGCTAGCAGAATTAGAATGTAGGAGACCTTACAGAGTGTTAAGGAAAAACAATCACTGTGTACAGCATGGCTTAGCTTCTACACTATTCATTAGAGTATGTCCTGAAAAGAATCATGGTTAAAATGAATTACCCTGGGAGAAGGGGACAAGGGTAAAGCTGTGTGGACTAGGACAGAGGATAGTAGGAAAAACAACTAACTTATGTGCTGTGCCCACTGGGTATACAAACTAAGGTCCAATATAAGTTAATGATAACCATCTTTCATTGGTACTCTGGGAATTATTTTGATTGTTTTCAAGACGAAATGCATCTTGTAGAAAAATAGTAACATTTTGAGTAAAACAATTTTATTTCAAAAATACAAAAATATAGACATTATCACATATGGTCAATATGGCCCATGGCAGACTATCCCATCTTAGTTAACACCTAACAATTTTTTCTGTTTATACAGACTCATATGCATCCATATGAATGCTTCCTGAATAAAATTTAAAGCATGTCAATTACTTCTTCACATGGTTCCATCATCACATTCTTTTTTAACACTTCAAGTTATCTTATGTGCGTATACTAAGATCTAAGCATTCTTCAAGTAATGGATGGCTGTCAATTTCTGACTATTACAATACTACAACAGAAGTAAGCACATAGCCTTACACATACAACCAATCTTAAGATCTCAGGAGAGGTTTCACCATTAGCACTGGAATTTTTCCCACTTATCGATTTCCCACTGTCGATGAACTATCCCATGGACACTTACGTTCTTCTGAAACCTAGCTATATGACCTATAAAGAGCAGCACTGCAGGACCACTGCATATGTACCACCCAGGGAGCTATCATGGTATGTACAGCTTCCATGGCCTCAACCTGGCTCTGCAGCATGGGTGTGAGATGCCATTCATAAATCTTGTCATTTTTTTGTCTGATGAAAGAAAGTAATTACTGCTTCACTATTCCCTTAAGCATTAGGAATAGTGGTATCTTCTCACAGACTCACTGTCTATCTGTACTCTTATGTTAGTTGCCCATTCAATTCCTCTGTCCATTCTATTAGGGGCATTCTGTTCTCTGACATACAGAAACTACATTAACTTACTAATAGTACATCTTCTGCCACATAAAGTTTCACATTTCTATGTGAACAGATTCATCAATTTTCTTTTTCATATCTTGAGATCAGCAACAGCTTCTACATGAAAATTGTAATGATCTATATATTGTTCAGAATTCTTTTACATTTCAATCTTTAATTTTTTTTGTTTTGTTTTAGTATATAGTAAGATATGGAGCTAGTGCTGAGTGGTGGGATCTTTAAGAGGTGACTAGCAGGACAGGAAAGATGGTTCAGCAGTTAAGATCACTTGCTGCTCTTACAGATAACCTAGGTTTAGTTCCCAACATTCACACAGCAGCTCGCAACAATCATCCATAACTCTAGATCCAGGGGATCTAACGTCCTCTTACGACAACCATGAATACTAGACATGTATATGATGCAGGCATAATACTCATACACAAAATAAAATAAATTTAAAAGTGGGAGAAAAGTGACTAGGGCTTTTGTTTGAGGGCTCTTCCAAGACATTCCTTTGTTGTCATCAAAGGAATGGGCTCACTGCCAAAAAGTTGATTTGTTATAAAAGCAAGTCCCACCCTCTCTTGCTCTTCCTCACTTTTTCTCTGCCCCCTCACTAAGGGGCAAACTAGCCAAAAAGCTCTCATTTTTTTAGCCACCATATCTGTGAGCCAAGTAAATTTATAGTATTTAAAAATTACCAAGTTTGTGGTTGTGGTGGCTTGAATGAGAATAACCTCCACAGGCTCGTATGGTTAAATGCTTGGTCCCCAGGTGGAAGAAATGTTTGGGAAGAATTAGGAGGTGTGGCCTTGTTGAAGGAGGTGTGTCACCAAGTGTGGGCTTTTGAAAGATGGGCCTACCCTGTTGCCAGCCTCTTTCCCATGAAAGACATGAACTCCATCCAATGCTTTGCAATCATGAGCCCCAAACTAATTCTTTTTAAGCTGCTTTGTTCATGGTGGTTTTGCCATAACAACAGAAAAGTAACTAAGATATCTGTATTCCACTACAGCAGCACAAAATGAATTAAGTCAGGACTCTTTTTTTTTTTTCCTTCCAAATGCAAAACCAGCTGTCTGTCCCAGCAACTGAGTCCCAGCAACCTTCCCTGCTGATGTAAAGGATGCACAGCATCAAATTTTCAGGAGTCTATTATGAATGTAGGTGTAATTTGTGTGCACAGATAAGCATTTGTACGTGTTTGTGCATATATACATATAGCTATTGCAGACCTGGTTTTCTCCAACTGCTTTCTCCCCTGGGTGACAACAGTACCAGGCCAACAGAAACCACTTACCTGCCCTTCCTCATCAAAAGCCATAACCACCACAGCAGCTCCAAACTTCTTAATCTTCCTGGCCTTCTCCAAGAAGTCCTCCGCCCCCTCCTTCAGGCTGATGCTATTGACTATGCACTTCCCTTGGCAGCACTTCAGGCCAGCTTCAACCACAGCAAAATTAGAAGAGTCGATGCACAGTGGCACCTGAGACAGAAGGACAGAAAGACCACAGGTCGCGAGTCACCACAAGGCCCCTTTGAATGGTTCCAAAAAAACCTCTTTCTTTAGGGAATAAATAAATAAATCTGAGTTATTAAAAAAAAAAAAGATTTTAACATACTTACTTAAGCTTAAAGTTCAAATATTTAGAGTAAGATCACCTCACAAGAGAATTGTATACACGGGCCAGGATTTATAACTCAAAGGCAGGGAATCCAAGAGAACAGTTCATGGGCTTAGGCCTCGTGTGCATTTCCAAGCACTTAAGCCCTAATGCAAACACCTTCTCTGGTTTTCAAGCATTCTACCCAGACTCGTGGGTTGAGCCTCTTGATCTTTAGAAAGATCCCTCTGGCCAAGGTACTCAAATTAAATCTCCTCTTTATAAAAACAAACTTCTGAGCAGGAAGAAAATTATTAGGAAAAACAGATCTAACTGCCCCTCCCCAATAGTAATTGCTAGTAACCAAAACAAACAACTAAAATGAGCACTTGAGAGGCCATGGTCTAATCCAGCCTCTGCTCCAAAACAGGTGAAAAGAATGATTCATGGCCACAAATTAATAAATATGGCAGGATAGCTGACTTAGGACTATTATTTAGTCAAGTCAGTCAGTAACTGACTCTGTCCCTCTAAGGCAAACAGGTCCTTGGCTTCACCATGTTTAGCAAGATAAATGATTAAACAAATAAGGACAAAAGTACATGAAAGGCTAGAACACAGGACAACACAAACAGCAAAGAGGCTAGCGGTGGGTCTATCTCAGCAACAGTGTGTCTGACAAGTGAGGCCCTGGTTTTGCTTCCCAATACCACAAACACACAAAGGAAAAATTATTGTTTTAAAGGGGGAGTTGGGGAGGGAGGTTAGGAAAGTAGCATTGTTGGCAGAGCACTTGCAGAGGTCCTCAGTTCATAAACTGCTAACACAAGCCTAGTCCTAGCACTTGGAAGATATAGGTGGGACAACAAGAGGTTCAAGGTTATCCTCAACTACATAGTGATTTCCAGGCCAGTGTAGAATGTATTGAAAAACACAAGGACTCTTCCCATTTTGCTTTACTTAGCACACTAATAATAAAAAGGTTTACCCTAAAAAAGGGTTAAATGTAATAGCAGTAAGTACCAGACCAGTGTCTGAAAAAGCTGACAAATAATTTGGTTTTCCAACTCTACTGGTGAAAATGTACTACCCATACTGTCGGTCTTTAAATCAGTGTCTTGGGGTCTTACCAGGCTGGTCTCCAACTGTCATGTTCCTGCCTTAACCTCTCTGCTTAGCAGCTCATTTTTACATTCTATCCTAATGACTAAAATTTGGTCTCCAGTAAATTTTGTTCAGTTTTTTTGTCTGTTTGTTTTTGTTTTTCTAGACAAGGTTTTTCTGTGTGCTGTCCTGTAACTCACTTTGTAGATCAGATTGGCCTCAAACTCACAGAGATGAGCCTATCTCTACCTCCTGAGTGCTGGGATTAAAGGATGCCCAATGTCCAGTAAATTTAATAGTCCATTAAAACCAGGGAAGAAAGGTTGTTCAGTGCAGCAGTCAGAGCACCAAGTAACAAGTTCTTTGCAATGCATAAGGCCTTCACAGTTAACAAGAGACTCACCATCACAATTCATATACTGAGCACCGTGGGTCTCAACACCTCACCTTAGAGATGAGGAAGGGTGTGCTTGGCTCTAAAGAGACCCAGATTTCTTCCCCTCAGCTCTGATTCAGACTGACTCTGAACAGACCAGAGCTGCTCTGAACCTGATGGTCTCAAAAGATTTATTCATAGAAAACTGGAAGGGCTTTCAATAAGTTTTAACATGCAGATGGATGATAGGTAAATATAACTCAATGCTTAAAGCAGGCTTCTCATAAGTTCTTACTAAAGCCTAATTTAAAAAAAAAAAAAGGGCAGTTCAACCTAAAGATATGCAACTCTGGGAACAGTTTCTTTAAAACAAAAAACCCTTAGAAGTCCTTCAGGGCAGCTGGAGAGATGGCTCAGTGGTTAAGAGCACTGACTGTTCTTCCAGAGGTCCTGAGTTCAATTCCCGGCAACCACATTGTGGCTTACAACCACCTTGAGTGAGATCTGGTGCCCTCTGGCGTGCAGGCCGAAGACTGAATACTCAATAAATAGAAGAAGAAGAAGAAGAAAGAAGAAGAAAGAAGAAGGAAGAAGAAGGAAGAAGAAGAAGAAGAAGAAGAAGAAGGAAGAAGGAAGAAGAAAGAAGAAGAAGAAGAAGGAAGAAGAAGGAAGAAGAAGAAGAAGAAGAAGAAGAAGGAAGAAGAAGAAGGAAGAAGAAGGAAGAAGAAGAAGAAGAAGAAGAAGAGGAAGAAGGACGCAGCAGGGGAAAAAAGAAGAAGCAGAAGAAGAAGCAAAAGCAGAAGCAGAAGAAGAAGAAGAAGAAGAAGAAGAAGAAGAAGAAGGCCCTGGTTGAGAACACAATGAAGTGGTTATAAAAATGTCTTGAAGACAGAGCAGCTGGAATTCAAGGTCAACCTTGGCTACATAATGAGTTTGAAGCCAACCATGGCTCCTACACTAGACAAACACACAAAAAAAGGTTTAGCTTGAACCCTCTAAAACATTCTAAGAGATTGATACAGCAGAGGCAGGCAGATCTTTGTGAGTTCTAGGTCAGCAAGGACTACACAGGAAGATCCTGCTCAAAAACAAGCAACATTTTTTATTATTATTTCTAAACGTATTTGTCTAGGGGTCTGTACACACAGATGCAGGTGTCTGTCTGGAGGTCTCTACACATAAATGCAGGTGTCCGTGGAGGCAGGAGGAATTGGATCCCCTGGAGCTGCTGTTAGTAGGCAGTTGTGAGCTGCCAGAAGTAAGTGCAGGAAATTGAACCCAGGTCCTCCACAGGAGCAGTACATGCTTTTAATTACTGAGGCATTTCTCCAACCCCAAACCAAAAAGAGTATAAACACTGATAGGCTACCTTGAGTTAATCCTGCTAGACATCACTGTCTTAATCTGATAGGACTAACAACAAGGTCTCTTCTAATGGTAAGGAAGCCCTCACTGAGCTCCACTTCCATAGTAGGAATAGAATGAGTGTGGTGCAACAGCTAAGTGCATCCCTCTGAGATACAACAGTCAACTCTCAGACTGCAGACAATGGACAAAACTCAGTTCTCTTGAAGCCTACTTCTCCAAGGTCTGTCAACAGCCAAGCCCAATCACTCTCTAAGATCTGCTGCAGGTGGAACAGACTATTTATTATAAGAAAACTCAGAATCAGAAACAACAAAATTGTCAATGTAGGAAAAGAGAAGTTCCTGAATGGACAGATAGACAAGGCTAAATAAATGAATGACAGTAACTGGGTAAACCCCTTTGATGATTATAAACTTGTACAACCTTGGCGATGTCAGGCTCAGAGGCAATAAAGTTGCAAAATCTGGTCATTGCACTGGGACCATCCAGCATGCCATCATCCATGTTGATATCCAGCACCTGAGCTCCCATTTCCACTTGTACTTTGGCAATGCTCAGGGCTTCCTAAAGGAAGAATGGGAGAAGCATGGTTAAGAGATGATGACTAGGAAGAGTGATTTTCCTCTCACACTCAGAGGTCCTTTGTTACTGAAATGGACATGTTGGCTCTCTAACTCTGGGCCTGTCCCTACTCCCCAACACTCACCCTATCCATACAGCATCTCACTGCTTGGAGTCCACCAAAGTAGCTTCCAACCATGAAGGATCTAAACTCCTGAGCCTCTAAGCCTACAACCCCCATCTCATTCAAATGTCTTTCTTGGTTGGCCCTTACTGGACACTCTACCCAACCAAGTGTCACCTCTGTGCCACAGATCACATAATATCATTGCTAGCAACCTAATCTCCTTTCCTCTCCACACTGTTTCAAACCTAGCTCAAGTTTAGCTTCTTGAAAGGTCTTTAGAGCAACCATCCAAACTCATTTACTCATTACTCCTTCAATGTTCCCCCACATAGATAAAGACTTTTGTAAGGATTTATTTTCATTATGCATATATATGTGTCTGTATGAGTATATGCCATATGCATAATAAAGGTGTCCACAGAAGCCAGCAGAGGGTGGTAAGATCCCCTGGAACAGGAGTACAGGGGGAAGTGAGGTAACTTTGTGGCCTATGTGGGTGCTGGGAACCAAATGGGCAGTCCTTTGCAAAACAGTACATACTCTTAGTTACTGAGCCATCTCTCTAGGCCCTCAATGGCATTTTCTAGTGTAACAGAGACACTTGTTTGAATCTGCAATATATACCTTTGTAGTCCAATAAATGAGCTAAGGAAAAATCAATAATAGATGCTGTAGCCTGATTTTTCTTTGCCTGCCCCCAAAGAAAACCACAGATGGAATTTTGTCATTCACTGTGATAAAACAGGGAGGAACAAATCTACACAGAAAAAAAGGATAACAAGAGCTCTACTACTGAACTACACTCCCAACCCAAAGGATCATAAAAAGTGCAAACTTCAAATGGTTTCCAGGCTGGGCATGGCAGTGCACACTTTTAATTCTAGCACTGGGGAGGCAGAGGCAAAGGTACATTTCTGAGTTTGAGACCAGCCAGGAATACACATTCAGACCCTGTTTAAAAATAGAATATCAGGTGGTAGCACACTCATGGCCCTAGATGAAATGAGTGAGGGGGGGAGAGGGAGAGTAGCAAAGCAGGGAGACTGAGCTGGGCTGCAGCTCAGTGGCTTATAGCGCTTGCTTAGCAAGCCTGCGAAACTGGGTTCCGCCCCTGGCACAGGGGAGAAGGGGGTGGTTTTTTGGTATCAGGGATGATTTAAATAGTATAAGGAATAAAAAAAAAAGGTGTGTTACAACCCCTGTTCTTGAAGGGCTTGTATCTAGTTGGAGACACACAATACTGTCATATTAAAAACAACACAAACAAGCACTGATAACAGTGTGGGGATCAAATACCAAGATTATCTGAATCAGAGATGAATGCTGACCAACTTTAACAAAAGTAGTGTATAGTGAGAGGGGAAGTCTTCATCCCACCAGTGGAGGAATAGAGGGGAGGAAGCAAAGAGGAGACAGAGGTTATCAACAGAGGCTCCAAAGACCTAGGAAACAGAAATGCCAGTATCTGACCTACTTCAGTCACAGAACAAGTGCTTGAAGGTAGAGTGCTCCCAAAATAGCTCAGGGTCATGGCGTCATTCCTTTAAGAGCAAGATATCAGATCTAACATTGCTCTATCAGTGCTATCTCTGCAAAGCACAGGACCTTGAAGGCCACTAAAGTAGGGGAAATCTAGATTCTATGAAGACTCATCTACTCATTCTGTGCTCCCCACCCCCACTTCAAATGCTTCTCCCTACAGGTCCCCCTGGCAGAGACCACAGGGCAGTTAAGTCCATGGGCTTCAAGACTTCCTTCTATCAAACCTGTGTAATAACAGACTAATAATTTTAACCTCTCCAACTCTCCATTATCACAGCTGTAGAAAGGTGAAAACAAGCAGTTTGGCTTCATGGGACTGTGCAAGTTTCCTGAGAACATAATGTGCTTAGCACAGTGACTGGGCACATGAGAAAATCTTAATATTATGTCTACCTGGGTACCTCCTCCTAAAGCAATCTCTGCCCACACTAATGAGGCCATCAAATCTCAAAGCTGAAATGGATATCCAGATGATAGGCAAAAGAATCAACATGCAAGTAGCTCCTCTGCCAACTGACAAACACCATCTGACTATTAAGGGACACAAGTACTTCAAAAGGTGCAAGCAAGAGCCAAGGCTTGATGGCAGAGCAACCCTCCAGAACGCTCAAACAGCAAATCAAGACGGTGAGGCTACAAGCACAGGTGGAGAGGACAGAATAACAGCCTCAAGAAGTTGAACAGCATCCTATTCCCTAGTCATCAAAAGTACTTTCAAGTCTGGAGGACAACCGTGATGGGAGTACATGGCAGCAATAACAGCAACAAGACAAAAGGGAAGAGCAGCAGGCAACCAACACCTGCAGTAAGAAAGACAACATGGGATGCGAGGAAACAGTAGTTAGCAATTCCAAAAGGATGATACATAAATGGGTTGCTTCTGCATGGCTAAAAACTAAATCTAAGCTGGGCATAGTGACCCACGTCTTTAATCCCAGCAAGTTGATCACTTTGAGTTCAAGGCCAGCCTGGTCTACATAGTGAGTTCCAGGGCAGCCAGAGCTACATAGTAAGACCCTGTCTTGAGGGGCAGGGCACCTAAATCTATAGGCTAGAAAGATGGCCCAAAGGGTAAGGGCACTTCATGCACGGGGGAAACTCATTGGATTTTCTGGGTGCTCGTTGGCTCTTCAGGTTCGTTTATCGTTGGGCGCCAGATATTGGATTAAGGTCTCTTTATTTCCAAGCACAGCCGGGTGAAACACAGGCCAGAGCTAGGTTAAGAACCCAGCCAGCGCGGCCAGAACAAAGAGAGAGCCCCGTCCCCACGTGCAGTCCCTTAAGAAGCCCCCTTTACGTCATCCCGGCTTTCCTTCACCCCGCCCTTATGGGCGAGTCCCCAGGTCCACCTGGTACCTGCCCCAGGACTATTGGGCGGGGCTAGGGTGACTCCCTACAGATACATATTGGGGTTCTCAAGCTTCAAGCTGAAGATCAGAAAAGCAAAACAGCCAAGCCACTACCTCTTACCACTACCTCGGCTGACAGGGCTGATCCTGGCTCCACCAAACCTCAGACTGCTGCCTCTCCTCAATGTGGTTGGAGAATCCTGAGGCTTCAATATCTTCCAAACCTCAATGTGGCTGGAGAATAAATGCCAGCTCTGAGACCTTGCTCCTGTCTTATAAAGCTCCCTAATGTTGGGATTAAAGGCATGTGATCCCAAGTGCTGGGATCAAAGGCATGAGCTCTGTTACTCTTCACTCTGTGTAGGCCATCTACCTCTGAGTCCTGGGATTAAAGCTGTATATCACCACTACCTGATCTCTATAGCTTGAGGCTGACTTTGCTTTCTGAATCCTCAGGCAAACTTTAATAAATTATAAATAATATATCACCACAAATTTTGTTTTGTTTTGAGACAGGATTTCTCTGTGTAGTCCTAACTGTCCTAGAACTCACTTTATAGACCAGGCTGGAATTCACCTGCCTCTGTCTCCCCGGTGCTGGGATTAAAGGCATCCACTACCACCAAAAAAACCTCAAACCATCTTCCTCTATTTCTATTTCATATTTGTAGAAAAGTAAAATCTATCCAGATGTCTTAGGCATGCTCATCTGCAGTATTACACAACTTATAAATACAGATTTCTCAAGGCAGGGGCTTTTCATTTTGTTCTGACCTATAGCTAACAGGATCAGCAATACCTTCCTCAATAAATATCTAATGTGTCAGATGAGTAAGAATTCTCTTTGGGAGGAGCAGAGATGACTCAGTAATTAAAAATACTCTTGTTGCCAAGCAGCGGTAGCACACAACTTTAATCCAGGCACTCAGGAGGCAGAGGCAGGTGGATCTCTATGAGTTTAAGGCCAGCCTGCCCTAATGAGTGAGTTCCAGGACAGCCAGGGCTACACAGATAAACCCTGTCCTGAAAAATAAAGTGAAAAAATAAAATACTTTTTGCTCTTCAGTTCCCAGCACCAACATGGAATTTCACAACCACCTATAACTCCATCTCCTGGGGATCCAATGTGCTCTTCTGGTCTCTGTGGGCACCAGGTACATACATGGTACACATACACTTATGTATGTGTACATTCATGCTCATATACATAATATATAATTTATATATTATGGGATTCTTTTTGGCTTTCACCTTCTGTAGAACAGCTTTTGAGAGGCCAAAATGGAGAGTATTCCCAAATATCCAACACTTAACAATCAACGACTAGATGCTGGATCCTTCCCAGTCATCTTACCCCATGCCCCATGTAATGCTTCCTGAGCAGTAACAACAGCAGCGGCTTCAAGTCTTCAAAGCCTCATGTCACAGCAGCCCCTCCCACTACCAGCTGCCATCAGCACCCGCACATACTTCCTAGCAGTTCTGCAGTAGCACCAACCACAACAAACACACTTTGCTGACATATAGTCTACCCAGAGGCATGGCAATGCCTCATGGGTCTCATTAGGATGCTCACATCATAGTTTCCTGCCATGATGAGTTTAGCAAACTTCTTGGATCCCGCCACGTTACAGCGCTCTCCGATGTTAACAAAGTTGGTGTATGGTCCAATCCTAAAGGGCTCTAGACCTTAAAAGGAAAAGCATTTTGAAAATTTCTTGAAAATGCACATGAATGACATGAAACAAACAAAATATTTTCAGCAAGAATGTCAAAGCCCATCTGAGCAGATGGGACAGGAGATCTGACAGGGAAACAGGATCACATTCTTCTTTTTTGAACACTGAAAGGCTACTTGTTTCAAATGCGCTTACAACTAGATCTCCCAAGAGAAGAAACACATCAGAGCTCTGTGCTGTAAATATTCATAGTTAGCTGAACCACACAGTCTCTGAAAAGACAAGGTCACCATCATTCCTATTTAACTAAGGCTCTGGGGCAAAGCCATGAAAAACTTCAAATTGAAAAAGGACTGAGCTTGAGTAGGTCCTGTGCAGGCTGCCCCAACTACTGTGACTTCATATGTGCAACAAATCTGCTGTGTCTGGAAAATCCTGCTTCTTGATATTACCCACAACTTCTGACAGCTATAATCTTTCTGCCCCACTTTCCCCTGAAAGTTCCTAAGCATTGGGAAAGGAGCATGTTATGGCACAAAATTCACCATGAGCTGAGAGCTATTGGCATCTGATAGCTGTTGGGAAATGGGGAAACAGGAAGGTAGGGAAGGAGAGGGAAATAGAGTGTGTCACTTTTCTTTTCAAAACCCATGTGCAGCCAGACAATAGTAGCCCATGCCTTTAATCCCAGAACTAGGGAGGCAGAGGCAGGAGGATCTCTGCGAGCTCTAGGCCAATCTGGACTACAGAGTGAATTCCAGGACAGTCAAGGATGTACATAGAAACCTTGTCTCGATAAACAAAAGAAAAACAAAAACAAAAACAAAAACAAGGACTCAAACTAGTTGCTAACACAACTGGACTTGGAAAGCTGGTAGTATGGTTGTTTGAATGTAATTATGCCCTATAAGCTCACTGGGAGTGGTACTATTAGGAGGTGTGGTTTTGTTAGAGTAGGTGTGGCCTTGTTGGAGGAAGTGTGTCACTGTGGAGGCAGGCTTTCTGGTTTCCTATGCTCAAGATACCCTTAGTGTCTAAGTTCACTTCCTGTTGCCTGGGGATCAAGATGGAGAATTCTCAGCTCCTTCTCCAGCACCATGTTGCCTGTATGCTGCCATATCCCACCATGATGATAATGGGCTGAACCTCTCAACTGTAAGCTAACCAGTTAAATGTTTTCTTTTATTAGAGCTGCCATGGTCATGGTTTCTCTTCACTGCAACGGAAACCCTAAGACAGGAAGAAAGCTAAAAATTAAGTAGGGTGAGATAGCAGAGGGTAGTTATTGGAAGAGTTGGGATAAGTGTGAATATGTTAAAAATACATTGAACAAAATTCTCAAACAATAAAATATATTGTAAAAATGAAAACTAAAACAAGAACTGTTGGCCAGGCAGTGGTGGTACACACCTTTAGTCCCAGCACTTGGGAGGCAGAGGCAGGTGGATCTCTGTAAGTTTAAGGCTAGGCTGGTGGTCTACAAATGAAGTTCCAGGGCAGTTTGTTGAAAAAACAAACAAACAAAAAGGATTGTTGAATCAGACATGGTGATTCAAGACTGTAATCACAGAGCTCTGTAGCTTGTAGGACTTTGAAGCCAGGATATGCTATGTTGCAAAATTCTATTTAATTTTTTTCCTCCATTGCTGTTTTTATCCACCCATCTACAGTGAATGAGGAAGGTCACAATGACAGTGAATGAGGAAGGTCACAGCAACAGTGAATGAGGAAGGTCACAGCAACAGTGAATGAGGAAGGTCACAGTAACTGAGTGAGGAAGGTCACAGCAATAGTGAATGAGGAAGGTCACAGCAACAGTGAATGAGGAAGGTCACAGCAACAGTGAATGAGGAAGGTCACAGTAACAGTGAGTGAGGAAGGTCACAGCAATAGTGAATGAGGAAGGTCACAGCAATAGTGAATGAGGAAGGTCACAGTGACAGTGAATGAGGAAGATCATTCCATCTCTTTCACTGAGAGACCATGAACCTGAAACTAGCACTTCCAAAATGAATGGTGAGGGAGGAGGACCCAGATGGGGATCCAGGCGTCACTGTGGCAGGTCTTCCAGCATGAGGTACCCAAGGAAGGTCACTGGGCTTTTGGCATTTTATTGCCTTATTTGCTAAGGAGTAACAGCACCTTCCCTGGCACAGGCTAATTCAGAGGCGAGTATCAGATAATGCATGTAGATGCATTACATTCAGGGTAAAAGCAACAGAGTGTGAAGTGACTGCAGAGAAGGTTGTCTTTTTAAAGTACTACAAGAAGCAGTCTCCAAGAATAGCCACAGGAAGGTTCTGGAGACACACGGCCTTGGGCTCATTACTTGCATGATCACACAACTTGGGACAACTACCCACACAACCTTTCTGCTTACAAATCAGATATAATCTCTACCTTAATTATCATAAAAAATGAAGCACAAAATTAGCATCAGCTATCAGAGCTGTCATTTTAAAAAGAAAATGGCTTTTGAGTCCTTTGCCAAAGCATTATATGAAGAAGCTAGTATAAGCAAGAGGAAGATTATGAATGGGCTGGGTAATTATACAGATATTCCAGGCCATTTGTTCAGACTCAGGAAGCAACCACTTTCTACAGTTTCAGGTTCTGACTTTTCTCATTGCTAGCGAGCCTTGTGCCCCTGATCTTTTATATAATCTGGAGGTTTGTGCACCAGACAAATAGGGATGATAACCACTATACGCTTGTTTATCTAATAGCATCTACAAAGTGCTTCTAATCTAGCAAGAAGGATGAATCAGATAGAAGCAGTATTTTTTTTGGATACCATTTATAAACAAGTTAACAAAGTGTTTTTCAGATTGGACATGGTGGCACAAATGTGTAACCCTAGTTCTGAGAAAGAGGAGACAAGGGGATTATTAATTATTAATTTGAGGTGGCCTTTGGCTATACACTGAGACCTGTCTTAATACACCATGATTTCAGGGGAAAAAAATTATATATATATATATATATGTA